CCCCAACCCTTGCCCGTGCTCCCCATCCTCCTCCTCTCACCTGCCCATCTCTGTGAGCTGCCAGTTCTGCCTTTGCATGATGCCTGGGTGTCCCCATAACCTGGTGGGGGCCTCCAGCACTTTCCAAATCTTCATTCATCACCAGAGGCGAGTGGCAAAATAAATAATGATATTTAACGTTTTGTAATAACGACGATTAACCAGTAAATAATGCCTTTTACACCACAGAAGCCAGAGTAAATTAATTCCCCTAATTAGCTGTCAGGCAGCACGGGGCAGTGTCAGCAGCGGACAAAGCTGGCAGTCCTTGCCTGCGTTATCCCTCACCCTGAGGCATCACTGAATGTCCCCAGTCCCAAATCAGACCCTAAAATTTTGCAGACTTGCAAAATCCACCACTGCCAGTGGGACACGAGGCTCTGTGCCACTTCCCAGCAGCTCTGGTGAGCCCTAAATCACTCCTATCTCCTGTTAAAAAACAAAACAAAACAACAAAAGATGGCAACAAAATGGTTTATGGCTGTAATAAATTGTGCTGGGGAAAAAAAAAATCTGTTTGCCTGGAATCAAGCGGGGGGTTTCCCATTGGCACTCAAATGGGAGCGTTACCAAGGCCCACGTCCCACTGCAGCCAGAGCCAGCAGTGACCAGTGGAGAGGGAAAGGAGGATTTATTAGAAGGAATTTTCTATCACATTTATCTCACCCACTTGCTCTGATCAGATGATCTCCCTGCAGTGGTGGGACCAGATGCTGGTGTTGGTGGGGGAATGGGAATGCTTCTGCCTGGCCAGCCCCAAGGGGTGGGAGGGATTTGGGCCCTGTGATCCCATAGGGCTGGAGGGTTGCCCATGGCTCCACCCGCTCGTCCCGGCTGGACTCTGCCCCATTCCTCCCCTTGGATCAACTCCCAGCTGCTGGAGGGGACAGGAACAGGAACAGGAACAGGGACGAGGACAGACATGGCTGCCCCAGGCCAGCCCCAGAAGGCCACCTATGATGCCATTGTCATCGGGGCTGGCATCCAGGGCTCTTTCACTGCCTACCACCTGGCCCAGCGCCACAGGGACACTCTGCTGCTGGAGCAGGTACAGGTGACCCCATTCTGCCACGTCCACAGTCCCCACAGGCGAGTGTGGCTGCCTGCAGACCTGGCTGCCCTCTGGCTGCCCTCTGCCACAGCACAGAGTGGAGCTGCTGCAGGCACCACAGCCCCCAGCGCCAGGACCCCCATGTCCCCACTGCCAAGACCCCCATCTCCTGCTGTTTCCTGGTGCCGTGGATGACAGGACAGCCTGTGTCCCCAGGTTCCCACCGCAGCACAGCACCAGTGCACGTAGGGATGGTGGGGTTGGGGGTGGGGTGGTGTCTGTGGTCACTTCCATGTCCCCTCTCCCCCACAGTTCCTCCTGCCCCACTCCAGGGGCAGCTCGCACGGGCAGAGCCGCATCATCCGCAGTGTCTACCCCGAGGAGTACTACTCCCGCATGATGCCCGACAGCTTCCGCCTCTGGCAGCAGCTGGAGGCTGAGGTCGGCGTCCGCCTCTACAGGTGACAGGGACGGGGACGCAGCCCCCACTGGGCACCATCCCCTCCCTGCTGGACTGGGGTCTGTGGCCACTGGGTGGCATGTGGCCGTCCTGACAGGCAGCTGCCGGCTCTGGGTAATTTATGGGGCTCCATAAAGATAATGTCATTAAGGAAATGAGCTTCCAAATGATCCTCCCGTGCCAGGGCCAGGGCTGATGGCACTCACTGTATTTGAGGGGGGAAGCACGATGCTGGCACCCAGACCCTCCTCATGCGTCACCCCATGCACCCAGCCCATATCTCCCAGCTTCCCACCATGGGGTGCCTCAGCATGTCCCAAGCATCACTGGTGCCACCGTGCCTCAGTTTCCTCCAGGGGCAAAGCAAGCAGGGAGTCTGCACAGGAAGGGGGAGTAGTGGGAGCTGACTTGACTGGTGGGGTGCAGGCAGACGGGACTGGTGGTGCTGGGGCCGGCGGGAAACGAGGAGCTGGAGGCCTGTCGGCGCAGCCTGGGTGACAGTCAAGTCCTTGACACCACGGCGCTGGCCCGGCACTTCCCTGGCTACCGGCTCCAGGCTGGCCAGGTGGCCGTGTTGGACAGCACCGGCGGGGTGCTCTTCGCTGACCGGGCACTGAGGGCAGTGCAGGTGAGTGCTGCCAAAGGGATGGGATGGAATATGTGGGACAGGATGGGCTGGGCTGAGCTGGGCTGGGCTGGGGGTCCCTTGGCTCCATCCCTGCAGCCACCTCCTGTTACCATTCCCATTCAGGAGGTCTTTCGCCGACACGGGGGCACCGTGCGGGATGGGGAGAAGGTGCTGCGCATTGAACCTGGGGCCATGGTCACTGTCACCACCACGGGTGGGGTGTACCAAGCCCCCCGGCTCATCATCACGGCCGGAGCCTGGACAGGTCCCCTTGTGGAACCCCTGGGTCTCCGCCTGCCGCTGCAGGTAAGGGCCGGTGGCAGGGTGGGGTGGCACAGACACAGCCAGAGCTAATGCAGTGACTGCAGCCCCTGCGCATTGACGTGTGCTACTGGAGGGAGAAGGAGCCTAAGAGCACCAACACGGGCAGTGTCAGTCCCTGCTTCCTGACTGTGGGGCTGAGCCAAGCCCCCCACGGCATCTACGGGCTGCCCGCCCTCGAGTACCCAGGGATGGTCAAGGTGAGCGGGTCACAGTGGTGGTTGGGGGGGATCCCTTAACCAGTCCACCCTGACCAGTTGTCCCCCAGCTGTGCCACCACCATGGCAGCCCCACTGACCCTGAGAAGCGGGATCAGGCCCCCTCGGGTGCCGACCGCCCTGACATCAGCCTCCTGAGCAGCTTCATCAGCAGCTATCTGCCTGGGCTGGAGACCCAGCCGGCTGTGATGGAGACCTGCCTCTACACGGTGAGACCCCTCCTAGGGCATGGATCCAAGCCTGTGGGGTCCTGAGCCCACTCCCATCCCAAGGTGGACCTTGCCATCCCTTCACCCCCCACACCTTGGGTCCAGGGTTGGACCCTTGGCCCCTCACCCTCACACTGTGGCTCCCCCAGAACACTCCAGATGAAGACTTCATCCTGGACCGGCACCCCAAGTTCAGCAACATCATCATTGGTGCTGGCTTCTCAGGTAGGCGAGGGCACCCACACCCCCCCGCTCAGCATCCCAGAGGTGAGGGTGGCTATGTCCCCCACCTTCCCTCTCCTTCCCACAGGTCATGGGTTCAAGCTGGCACCAGTGGTGGGGAAGTTGCTGTGTGAGCTGAGCCTGGGCGAGGAGCCATCCCACAACATGGCCCCCTTCGCCATCACCCGCTTCCATGATGTGCTCCAGTCTGTGCTGTAGGTGTGGGGCTCCAGATGTGCCCCCATAGCATCACACCAGACTGCAGCTGTGTCCCTGCATTCCAGTGACCTTATACCTCAGTAGGCCTGCATCAATACCCGTCTCCATCTCCTTGCACCCTGGTGTCCCAACATGCTACACTTCTCCAACTCTAGCTGTCCTTCATCCCCACATCCCTATATTCCACCATCACATCACCCAGTATCCTGGCATCAATCTATGCCAGCAGCCCTCCATCTGTGCATCCCAGCACCACTGCACCGGCACATCCCAGAACCTGGGTATCCCCATGCCCCTGCACCCCTGCTACCTGCATCCCAGCAGCCCTGCATCCCTATACCCTGCCTCCCCACATCCCAGCATCCCTGTCTCCCTGCATCCCAGCATCCCCCATGCCATGCGGTGCCAAGCTGTCTCTACCAAGCACCCGCTCCCTGGGAACAAATTAAGAAGCTTTGTCAGCCTCATGAAGATGGAGCTGGAGCAGCGCAGAGAGACACACTCGCTTAGGAGTCAAGTTAAATGTTTTAATGTTAAATGTGCCATTTTATTATCATTAGATCGCTCCCACTTAATGAAAGCGCATTAGCGCAGCGTGGCTTTATGGCAGCGAGCGCTGAGCTTGGCCCATGTTTTACCAAGAGATACTGGGAAAAGGGATCAAATAACCTGGTTTGCCAAGGTCCCAGGAGTGGGGGTGTCTCAGAGGGTCCCTGGGGCCGGGTTCAGGGGACAGCACATGGCACAGGCCACCAGGTGCCAGGGCCAAGCCATGCAGGCAGCCAGCAATGCACATCATCATCATCTCCTCCGCGTTAAATAATTAACGCCGGCAGGCAGCGGCTCTGTCCCGCTGCTCATCTCCATATTTATGAAGATTGATAAATGATTCAGTGCTGGCACCCACAAGGGCTGTCCCCCCTACCCTCCCCAGCACCCGTGGGTGCAGCAGACTCAGGGAAGGGGCCAGGCTTGGCCCTTCCAAACAGCCCCACATCCTTGCCAGGGCTGGATCCATTCCACCAGACCTTGCCACCATGCAAACACCCCTGCAAAATGGGGAGACCCCCCTGGCACATGGAGCAGGCAGCAGCCGGTGTCACCAGCCAGAAATGACGTTTATTTTCATACTGAAAGTAAAGGGGGTGTGGTGGGATGCACAGCTGGGCTAGTGCAAAACAGCCAGGCAGGAGTGGGGGGCTGGGGAGCTGTTGAAAACCCAGGTGGACACCTGGGACCCCGTCCCCACGTCCCCTTCCCAGCTGCCAGGCGGCTGCTCCCCAGGGCCCGGCCAGCGAGAGACGTCTTTGGCTCAACTAAAAGGGGTGCAAGAGGGGGGGAGTTTAAGTTATAAAATAAGGAGCCAGCAGGCACTGAGGAATGAATCCAGGGTGCCGGAGCAGCCGACTCCACCGCCAAGGACAGACAGGAGGTGGGAAGGTGGGGGGTGCAGCCAGCGAGCCGGCCGGGCTGCTCCCCCCATGGCCGGGGGACGGCCGAGTGTGTCCCCCCCACCCCGCACAGAAGAAATACCGGCTGCCCGGGGTGGCCCCGTGGAGCTGAGTGTTCCTGGGGCGGTGGGAAGTGGTGATGGGGGGCTAGGCAGGGGTCTCAGCAGCCCTGCTCTCCGCCTCGCTGGCACTGGGGGAGCTGCGGGAGGAGCGGCGTGTGCTGTCCCCGGCGTCCTGCTCCTCGTCCCATCTGTCATAGGTGAAGGTGTGCCGGGAGCTCGTGGGGCTGTGGGAGAGAGCAGGGTTAGTGAGGGTCCCGGGGGGCTCCATGGCTCAGCATGGCTCAGCTGCTGAGCACAACTCCCCTCCGGCTGCAGCAGGAGCTGTGGTGAGCCAGCACACTGGCAGCCAGCTGGATGGAGCCCTGATTGCCTCCTTTTTTATTATTTCCGAGATATTTGTGGCATGCTCCACTGCAACCAGCTCCTCGCTGTGCTGAGCTGAGCCCCTGCTCTGAGGTGGGGCTGAGCTGAGCCTGCCCAGGGGCTGCCACTCCCATGGGCACCCAGAACTCTGCACTCAGGAAAAGGGGGGCCCTGGATGCCAACACCAGCACTCATGGACACCCCTGCCTGAGGAACCTGGTTGTACCTGAGCCCAGGGCTGGGTGCTGGGGGTGTTTCTCCCCTTTGCCCCTGTGATGCCTTCCCTAGCCCTGGGAAAGGCAGCCCAATGGCAACCACATTTCCAAAAGGCTTCCTTCCCTTCCTTCAGTCATTCTCCTATTTAAGCCATCAGAAAGGATGGAATCTGCTTGGAAATCGCTGCCAGTGAGCCCCAGCACATCCACTCTTCTACATCAAACAGGGTGTGGAGACCCAAAGTCCTGCAGGCTGAGGCTGTTCACACCCCAAATTCCCATCACAGGCACCTGACAGGACACAGGACAGCAACTCTGAGCTCCAACTGCCCACCCCGGGTCACCTTCCCAGGTGCTGCCTCCCCCCATGATCACACACTGCAGTGGGTGCGTGTTAGTATCCGTCACACTCCTGCCCACTCCCAGGATGAGCGGGATGCTGTGCTGCCCAAAACTCCTTAAATTTCCTGAAGGAATAAATCCAGTTGTGTCCTGGCTGGTGGCTGGGGAGCCAGGAAGGCATTAGCACTTCCCGGTGCCCCACAGCCAATAATCCTGAACACGCTGCGTCCTGGCAGCCTGGGCAGTGCCGGTCCCGCTGCGGCCACGCTGGGAATCTCCCCACAGATGGAGATGAGTTGAGGATGCCCTGCAGCACCCCAAAAGCAGGGCTGCTGCAGGCACAGAGAGGTGCCCCATGCTGGCGGAGGTGGACTCCATGTCCGGAGTCAGGAGAGGGTTAGGGCGAGTGGTTAGTGGCACACAGGGAGGTTCATGCTGCACGGCACACACCGCTCCCACCTCCTGCCTCAGTCGCTCTCGGGCCGGTACAGGTACTTCATCATCAGGCTGTCCACCTGCTTCTTCCGCTGCTTCTCCTCCTTCTTGGCCCGGGCAGGACGTGTCGGCTCCTCGCCCCCCGCCGCCCGTGGGCCCTTCTTGACACTGGAAGTGCTGCGGTAGGAGCTGGTGGAGCCAGAGGAGGACTCGGAGGAGGAACTGGAGTCAGATGATGACTCCTGCTTCTTCTTCTTCTTTTTGGATTTCTTCTTGGATTTCTTGGCGTGCTTCTTGGCGCTCTTCTTCTTCTGCTCCTCCTCTTCCTCAGAGGAGCCCGAGCTGCTGCGGCACCGGCAGGTGTGCCGGCAGAAGTCAAGGGCGGATGCGGAGCGGCGCAGGCTACCAGAGGGGCGATCGGCAGCGCCCAGGGGGGCCGCGCTCCGGACACTCCGCACGCTCCGGCCGTCATCCCCTGAGTCGGCATCGGGGCTGGAGCAGCCCCTGGACCTCAGCGGGCGGTAGCTCAGCACCTCCTGGATGGCGGCTTCCAGGTCGGGGTCAAGGTAGGAGCGGCGCCCCACGGGGCGGGTGTCCCCAGGGCCCTCCTCCTCCGAGGCTGCACTGCGGGGCCGTGGGGGCACAGAGAAGCTGCGCCCCAAGAGGGGCTGCCCGCGGGACCCGTCGTCCGCCTCATCCAGGCGGCTGCGGGCCAGGGAGAGCCGTGATTCGGGACGACTCTCAGGCCCCCCACGCCTGCTCCGCAAGCTCCCGGGGCTGGAGAGGGCGAAGCTCAGCATGGAGCACCCCTCGTCCCCATCATCCCCATCCTCCAGCCCGCGCCAGGAGGTGGAAGAGACTCGGCTCACTGGAGCAGAGGCAACTGAAGCTTTCTCAACGTCGGTGGCCGAGAGGGACCACCGCTTGTCCAGCCCTTGCCGAGCCCGACCGCTGGCGTCGGCGAAGGCGCGGGCGATGACGGCCGCCCGGTCCTCGGGCTCGCCGCCGCGGGCCTTCCTGCGCGCCGGGCGCTCGGGGGACGGCGGCCGCTCGCCCAGAGCGCTGAACAGCGTCTGCTCATCCCCGCGGCCGCCTATGGAATCCTTGAGGCCCGGTCGCTTCCTGTAGCTGAGGGAGCTCAACACTGACACCGGTCGCTCCTCAGCCTCAGGACCGTCCGGGGGGGCTGACCTGTGCAGCGGCACCGCAGCCCCGCACGCACCGGGGAGACAAGAGAGAGAGGAAGATGAGCGGGCGAGGGGGGGACCAGCGAGGCGGCCTCGGCAATTTGCGTCAGCGGGAAATGGCATCGTGGAAAAATGTCATGTAAATGTGGGAATTGTTCTAGCCCAGCACTTTGATTCCCCTTTAAAGTGTTGCCTCCAATTTATTTCATTGTCAGCTACCTGGAGCCACTGCGTTTGATTCCCGACTTCAGAAAAGGTGGAATTATCTCCAATAACAAAATGTTTTACATCTGCACCGCTGAATAAATTAAACCAATTAACAGAAACCAGCTCAGATCTTTCCCCCCTGCTTGGCAGAGGGAGGGAGTCCCTCGGGACTCCTGGAGCCCTGCTAGGAAATTGGGTTTGGATAAAAGCAATCTGTGCTCAGCAGGCAAGCAATTTTCATGGAGAATGGAAGTGGGGATGTGTGCCCCAGCCCCACACTGTGGGGGCACCTGGGCACGTCTCCCACCTCTACTGTCATTTTCTGAGAGGTGTGGGGAGGGATGTGGTGGGGCTGCAGAGGAGGGTAGAATGGAGCAGGGAATCAGTCCTGGAGTGACGGAAGGCTGCAGAGCAATGGAAGGCTGCACAGAGCTAGAGCCCACCACTGTGAGCCCTGGGGAGGCAAATGGGGTGGGAGGTATGGATGCCCTTATGCCTCCAGGATGGGATGAGGGAAGGGGGACCAGAGAGGTCCCCTTAGCTGGGGGGACATGTGTCCCCAGTGGAGATCAAGCTGCTCACCAGCATTAACCCTTCCCTGGCCAACCACACAAGCACCAGGCGGGAACATGGCACCAAGCACCACATCCCACAAATGCCCAGCCACCCCCAGCCATGTCCCAGCACAGCTCATCCCGTCCTCTGCCCCACACCCAGCCCTGCACCCACCTGCTGCCCTTCAGGCTGCCGTCATCAGAGAGTGCTTTGGAGGAGCCTTTGTTCTTGGAGAGCCAAGACTTCACCCCATCCACGCGCTCCTCCAGCTCTGAGTCCACATCTGAGTCACCGTCGCTGCCAGAGGAGCGGGTCAGGGTGGAAGAAAGCAAGAGGTGAGCATGGGGCAGTGAGATTTTGGGTGCTGGAGAGGTGAAAGTGCACTGGAAAGCACCATAGCCCCCCCGGCACCCACTGCCTGGGTACCCTGGCATGAGTGAAACCCCATCCCATGATTCTACTCCATCGCTGGGGTGTAACCTGCATGCACAGAGCTCAGCCTGCATTTTAGGGTCTCCCTGAAGCACCCCCAAACCCCCAAACCACCTCCCTGCCTGCCCAAGGGGCTCCTGCATCCTCTGACCAATGTCCCCCCTCGCCATTGCGTGGGGCTGGAGACAGTTGGGGCAGCAGGCAGGGCACAGCTCCAGAAACCCAGGAGATTTCCAGCTCCGGGACTTGGAAGGAAATAAGTGGGTTCGTTTTATAGGCCGCCGTCGAGTGCAGAATTACAGCGAGGAAGAGCGATGCTGATGGCCCCGGGTAAACAGAAGTTTAGCAGGCGGAACAGGAACGACTCCGGCACGGCGGGCGCAGGAGCGCGGTGGGCAGATTTACAGCCCTGCCGTGCCCGAGAGCCCCTGATTTACGTCCCCGCGTAAAAAAAGTCCTATCTGGCTTAAACCATCTAATTTATAACGACCCTTCGTAACCATATTGATTGCCTTTAGAGAGAAGGTGCTGTCTGCATTGCAAAATCCATTCCTCCACGTTAAAAGCATCCCCGAATAAATCTCCCTTAATACCTCACCGCTCACTGCTTTCATTAGGGTTACGGCGGCACTGGCGGGATCTATACGGAAATCGAAGTGGTGTGGTCCCCTCTCCCCACCCCACTCCCACCAAACGAGGGCTCCCACTGGGCTGCTCCAGGGAAGGGATATATCGTAGGATCTTTAGCGGCCTTTTATCCGCCTGGTTTTGGGCTTATTCCCTGCCTGGTAATGATGGCAAACAGCACAAGGGACAGGCTGGGATAGGCCCTGTATATGAATCCTCCTTGTCAAATTCAAAGCAACGAGCCACACTCCATCCTGCGCATCTCCCTCCCCTGCAATACATCCAGGCAACGCTGGGCTTGGAAAAAAAAAAAAAAACCACAACAAAAAAATCCCACGGAACGACACCAAAAAAAACCCCAACGAGCCCCAGAAACAAGCTCTGGGGGCAGCTAAGGTTTTATAACCAGCAGAATTAAACTCCACATCAAACGCAGTTTATGTCCAGGCGAACGTGCCGTTAGTCAAGCAGGACTCGGGTCGTGGGAACGACCATGGATGGGGATATTAATTAGCAGGGCTCCATCGCTGCCCCATGCTGACACGTTCATCATCAGCCATGGCAGGACATCATTCCCCACCCCATCCCAGGGGCTCATCCCATCCCCCTGCGTGGGACACAGTTATGTGCCGTGCCATGCCGTGCCATGGGTGATGTTAGGGCATGCAGAGGTGGGCCAGTGGCATGCGGGACCCCGGCCCTCGGGGGTGAGGTGGGGGTTAGGGGAGGGGAGGAAGGAAAGAGATGCTCCTCACAGTTTACTCTTTCTTTTCTGATACTTTGCCACCATGTCCTGCAAACTGGGAGGGGTTGGAGGGAGGGTAGGAGGGGGGAGAAACACAACAGAAATCAAATGAAAATTAAAAAAAAAAATAAGACCAAGCGGGTGGAGAACGGATGGGGACAAATTAAATGGAGGGGAAGGGCCAGGGGAGGGAGGTGAGGCTGCCCTGCAACCCTGGAGTGGGGTTGCACCCAGGCTGGATTCCAGCATTCCAGGACGGTTGCCAGAACATGTTCAAAGAAAGGTAACGGAGCTGAGGAAGGGTCTGGAGCACAAGTCTGATAAGGATTGACTGAGGGAGCTGGAGGGGCTCAGCCTGGAGAAAAAGAGGCTCAGGGGCAACACTTTTGTTTTCTACAACTCCCTAGAAGGAGGCTGTAGCCTTTTGGGGGTCAGGCTCTGTTCCCAAGGAACAAGCGATAGGACAAGAGGACATGGCCTCAAAGTTGTGTTTAGATTGGATACTAGGGAAAATTTCTTCACCAAAAGGGTGGTCAGGCATTGGAACAGGCTTCCCAGGGAAGTGGTGGAGTCACCATCCCTGGAAGTGTTCAAAAAACATGTGGATGAGGTACTTGGGACCATGATCTAGTAGTAACATGGCAGTGCTGGGTTAATGGTTGGAGGTGGTGATCTCAGAGGTCTTTCCCAACCTAAACAATTGTAGGGTTCTATAATTCTATCTCTGGGCTGGGCTGGATCCCAGCATCCCAAACCTCCTGCCAGCTTGCGCTGCCCTGGCTCCTGGGGCTCCCTGGGCTGTTTCCAGCCAGCTGACACAGCCCTGAATGCATTTCAGGCAACTCCACAAGCGGGTGAAGCTCCCCGGGGCTGTGGGTGGACAGAGGGATGGATGCAGAGGTGCAGGGACTGATGCCCGTGTGCACAGGTGCCTGATGCACGGATGGCACATACACAGGTGCATGGACAGATGCACAGGTGCACAATGCACGGACAGATGGAGGGACAGCATCCTGCCAGGGCCAGGCAGAGCCGAGGGGTCCCGGTGGCATTTCTGAAGTGGCGAGGGGAAGCAGTGACCTCCGGGGATGTGCCTCGCGTGGGAGCCAGGCTCAGGTGTTCTCACCTGTTGATAAGGTCCTCGTTGCTGTCGCTCTCCATCTCATCCTCAATGGCCGCCTGCAGGTCCCCGATGCGCTTGAAGGCCAGCTTCAGGTCTGACTGCAGACTCTGGTTGGCAGCTTCCAGGCTCTCCAGGTCCATCTCCTGCGGGGAGGGAGTGGGATGAGCCAGGTACCTCAGGGAACACCCCCCTGCTCCCTGCCTGGCCCTATCACAGGTGCCTCACCAGCTCGTGCTTCTTGCGGCTGGCCTCTGCCTCCTTCTTGGCCAGCTCGCCCATCTCCTCCTTGACATCACGGAGCTGTCGCTGCAGCCTCTTGTTCTGCTCCTTCTCCCGGTTCTCGGCGGCTGCGCGCTGATCCCGCTCCTCCGTCAGCTTCTCCATGTTCTCCTTCAGCCGCGTGGCCAGGCTCTGCAGAGCAGTGGGGTCACCCCAGATCCCCCCATGGACCCCTCATCCTACAGGTCCACCCTCATCCTGCAGATCCACCCCAACACCCACCAAGGGCTGATGAGATGACCTCCCCATGACCCTATCCCCATGAATTTACACAAGGAGATGAAGGAGAAACCACCCCCTCCCAGGGCCAGGGAAGGGGCAGAACAACAGCAAGGGCTTTGTTGAATTGGAAAAATAGATTTAACTGTGTGTGAAGTAATTAAAACATGTAACATAAGGAAAAAATAGCTCCTGTTCTCCCCCATCCACTGAGCCAGCCGCTGCATATTTATGGCCCCGGCAGAGAGAGCGGGGAAGGAAATAATAGCTTGGAAAATATGAAGAGGAGAGCTAAGCTGCCGCGCTCCCCGGCAGAGCTGCGGAGGCAGAATATAAAACAGGCTGTGTTCGTGGGGCCGGGAGTCTATAATTTCCCTAAGTCGATGCAGGGAAAGAGCATCACTTTGCCGGGCCGGGTGGTGGATTACTGTTATCGGTGCTTGCAGGGAGCCTTCCCTGCGGAGACAGGGATGGGCTGCCGGAGGGGGAGGGCTGCAGCGTGGGGGGTCCTGGGGAGGGGATGCGCTCAGCAGACCTCTTGGGCAGCTTCATTACGCTCCTGTTGCATCCTTGTCCCAGGCAGATTGGAGGGAGAGCCCGGTGCCTACCTCCAGGCGCTTGACTTGCGTCCGCTCGAACTCCAGCCTGGTCTCCAGCTCGCGGATCTTGGCTTCTTGCCGGCTCACCAGCGACTTGTCCACCATGGATTGCTCCAGGAATTCCAGCTGGCTCTGCAGGCCTTGTAGCTGTGGGGGGTGGTGGGGGCACAGCTTCAGCCTTGACCACGACCTCCCTGCCCCCCTGACACGCCGTCCTGGAGCAGAGCTGCTGGCCATTCTGCTCCAATTCCCCGGGACTGCTCTGTGCCCCCACGGTGTATGGTATGGGCAGCAGGTCTCTGGGTGACCCCCATCCCCCCAGTTTCGCTCGGGGTGCATTCCCTGTCTGATGTTGGTGCTCCCCACCTTCTCCTGCAGCTCCTGCTTCTCCTTGCTGACCTCCTCCAGCTGTGCCTGGAGGTCATTCATCTGTGCCAGGTCTCGGGACGCCTGTGGGACACACCGAGGCCGTCAACAGGGATCCCACTGCGCTGGCTCCAAGAGGGGTGTTTTGGGGGGGTGGAGTGGGCACAGCTGCTGCTCTCCCTCACCTGGGCTACAGCTGCCTTGTGCTTCTTCATCAGCTCATTCATGTCCTCCTGGTCCTCCTCCAGCCGACTCTGCACCTCATTCTTTTCCCGCTGCAGTCGGCTCAGCTGCTCCTCCAGCTGCAGGGAGCAACACCTGTCTCCTGCTGCAGCGCAGGAGTGGGGCACTCACCCCCCCAAAGCACCCCAAACAGCATGGGGTCACCCTGCTGGCACCCTGGGAGCAAGTGGGGCATGGCCCCACCACGGCGCATCGCACCCCAAAACCACTCACCGCTGCCTTGGCCTTGGAGAGGTCGTCGATCTGCAGATGGAGGTCCTCGATCTCCACTTCCATGGATTTGCGGGCCTTGACAGCAGCTGCGCAGGTGAACTCCGACTCCTCCAGCTGCAGGGATAAAGCTCAGCACCTGGCCAGAGGACAGGGACACCCTGTGTCCCTGAAAGGCTGTGGTTTGGAGGGATCTGGATGCACACCTGGTTCTTGAGCTGGGTGATCTCCCTCTTGCTGGGTGCATTGTTCTTCAGGTGGTCCAGCATGATCTGAGCATCAGCCAGCAGTGCCTTCGTTCTCTTCAGGTCCCGGCGCAGGCGCTTTTCTGTCTCGAAGTCCCGCTGGTTGGCCTGTGGCAGGGGGGACCATGCCAGGGCTCTGTGCTGCAGGGGTGCCCACTCACTATGGCCACCTCAGGGTCCCCAAAGAAAGGCACGTGCCCAGTTGCCCTTCACCCCACCTGCTCGCTGACAGCAGATAACTTGCTCTCCAGCTCCCGTTTCTCTCTCAGCACCTTCTGCTTGTCCTCATACTCCTCTTCCAGCTGCACTTCCATCTGCTTCAGCTGTGGGACAGACAGGGGGCAGCTGGTCAGGGAGGCAGGGAGGGGTCATGACCCCCCTCCTTGCATGTCCCCACACACTGGGGACACTGGGTGACCCCACCAGATGAGTGTTTGCGCAACCAGAGGCACAAAGCCCGGCGTGCGCTGGCCCGGGCGGCAGAAGGACTGGTCGGACCCGCCGGGCCGGTGGAGCCGGGCTGTGGTCGGCTGCGTGGGAGCCAGGTGCTGCGTGACGGTGCCCAGCTGGCAGCTCCCGGCACCCAGCCGGGGCATGGGGAGGCATCCCAGGCCCTCCTGGGCAGAGGGGCTGCAGCTGAGCCCTACCTTCTTTTGGCACGACTGCCGGATCTCCTCCACCTCCTCGTCACGGCTCTCCACCTCCTTGGCGTGGGTCTGCCGCAGCCGCTCCATCTCCATCTCCAGCCGCAGCTTCGCCTACAAATGGTGGGGATGTGGTCAGAGTAAAGGGGATGTGGGGACCCCCCATGCCACTCCCCAGGCACCACTCACACAGAAAATGCCCCGGTCCGAGGCCGGCTGGGTCGCTCGCCCCATGGTGACCTGCCAGGCCATGGCACGGAGGGCCAGGAGCCGTGTCAGCCCAACACCGGGCTCAGAGCGACCGCCTCCTCTTCCTGGGCAAGCCCGGCCCAGGTAATAACAGCCCTGCATGAAACCACCCCACCCAGAAACCTCGCCCCTCCCCGCTGTACCTGCTCCAGCATCTGGATGGTCCCAGCCTGCTCATCCAGTTCCTCCTCCTGGTCTTTGACCTTCGCCTCCAGGTCCCTCAGCTGTTTCTTCACCTTGGCCAGGGAGGCTTCATCCTTTGACTCCTGGGAGGAGATGTCCTGCAGCTCTGCCTCCAGTGCCTCCGCCTTCTGCGTCAGCCCTGCGATGTCCGAGTCCTTGTCCTGTGAGAGACAGGGTCACCATGACCCTGGGGCACCTGGTGACTGGGGGACTGGGTCAGGGGCTGGGATCCACTCACCTCCAGCAGCTGCTTGAGGCCGAAGACCTCAGCCACCAGCACATCCTTCTCACGACTCAGCTTCTCCCGCTGCAGCCGTTCCCTCTGTGCCTCCTCATGTGCCTGAGAGAGCTCGCTGTCAAACCTACATGGGGAGAGCAGGGCAAACACTCAGCACCCGGGGGGCCAGTCCTCAGCCCTGTGCTAGGGACACTGTGCCAAGCATCCCCTTCCCATGGCAGCTGGCTTCGGGAAGGGCGGAATGGCGTCCAGTGCTTGTTTGAAACAGCCTGTTGATGAGCCTCTAATTGCTAGCACGGTGGCACGAGTCACTCCGAGAAACTCCTCCCGATGCCTTTACTCAGTGCTAATGAAGAGCACAGTGCCGACCCCGGCAGAACCATCAGCTGCACTGTGGGGCCAGCAGTGGCTGCTAACGGCAGGGGCTTGATACACCGAGGCAGCCAGGGACACCAAACCCTCCAAGCAGGACTCAGAGGGGCTTCAGGACATTGAGGGGTCTCCAGGAGAGACAGGATCTTGCGGCAGCGCAGCTCCCCCAGCTGCATCCCAGCTGCATCCCAGTGCCACGGCCCCACGTGGGATGGCACAGGTCCCATCCCCAGAGCGGACACGAGCCCCTGGAGGGGACACAAACCCCTGGTGGGGGAGTGCTCAGCACAGCCTGTAGCCAGGAAGTGCCGTGGCAGCTCTCCCAGTGCCCCTGGGATGGGATCAGCCGGGTTTGCTCCGAAATCACTGCCTTTGGGGCTTGGAAAACAACCCTATGCTTGAGTTTGTGACCTGAGTTAAACACCTCGGCAGCTAATCCCCGTTTTTCCTCGCGCTGGGTAATAAACAGCTGCATTAGCACAGACACCAATCCACGGAAATTGAAATTAATTAGATTGGATTCTCTCGCTGTATTTGTGTGTGTGATCATTACCATAATGAGATGAAAGCGTCCCTGCTGCTTAATAACGTTAGCAAACTTTGGGGCTGGGAGCGGGGACGGGGTGGCAGCACACGCCGAGCCGAGATGCAGGGCACCAGCAGCCTCCACCATGGGGCACCAGCAGCCTCCACCATGGGGCACGCCCCCATGGAGGGGGGGATCACTCAGCACCAGCTCCCCCAAAAGGGTATGAGGGACCCCCTCACAACTAACACATCCAACCTTGGCAACTCCATCCTGCTGGAGACACCCCAGCCAAGTAGGAGCTGGTGAAGTGCCCAAATCCCTGCTAAAATGGTAATGCCACTTCGCCAGGGGCTTGCTGCGCAGCAAGGATGACCCTCTGGCTCCAGCGTGCAGTCCCCACCTTCTCTGCTTCTTCTCCAGGTCATGGTTGCGTCCCTGCTGTCCCTCGAGGTGCAGCTTGGTGTCCTGTAGCTCAGCAGCCAGGCGCTGGCACTTCTTCTTCAGCTGCTGCAGCGCACGCTGGCTCTCCTCGCTGTCTGCTTGCAGGTCGGCCAGCTGCAGGCAGGAGCAGGCAGGGAGGTGAGGGCTCTGGGATCCCACCACATCCCTACTGTCCTGGCCATGGGCTCCCTCAGCTCCAAGCAGCCCACCCCATGCTGAGGGCACCAGGGGTTCCCCAGGGCTGAGCCCCACTCACCTTCCGCTCCAGCTGCCTCTTGCCCTGCTGCTCCACCTCCAGTTTGTCCTCCAGTTCCTGCTGCATCCGTTTCTTGGTGAAGTCGATCTCCCGCACTGCCCGCTCGTATTTCAGCCGCCATTCGCCGCCTGTGCAGGGAAATGGGGTCACCAAGGGGCTGTGGGGGTGGTGTGGGGCCACTGTGGAGAGGGGGACACTCAGTGTGTGCCAGCAGCCAGCACTGGAGGCAGGACAGTACCTGAATCATCATCATCGAGCTCCCCATTGAGCTCGGCCGCCCGGATGAGCCGAGCCTCCATCACCTCCATCTCCATTGACTCCATCTGCTTCTTCAGGGCATCGTACTTTGCCTGGGAGGGAACATGGCTTTTGTGAGTGCTGGGGGTAGGGGACAGGAAATGCTGTGAGGCCGGGGAGAGGTGCTTTTACCTGCAGGTCCTTCATCTCCTTCTCAGCCCGCAGCCTCTCGGCTGTCTCGGCGTCCAGCAGCTGGGAAGCTGACTCGCCGGTGTTCCGCTCGTCCGTCAGCTCCGATGTCAGCTCTGTGATCTGGGGGCAGCAGGAAAAACAGGATCATGGGCTGGGGCAGGCCAGAAGAGCACCATACCCCATCTTGGCACCAGCAAGGACCTACCCTGCTCTCCAGGCGGTCGCTGTTGAGCCTCAGCTCGTTACGCTCCTTCTCCACCTTCTCGAGTTTGCTCTTCAGCTGCTGGATCTCTTCCTGCAACAGAGCGGGCGGTGAGGGAGGGGGCAGGCGCAGGGAAGAGGTTGGTGGGCAGGAGCTTGGCAGTTCTCCACCCCCCACAGCACCCCCCCAACGCAGGATGGGCAGGGTGGGGGCTCCCCGAGGCCGCTCTCCCCTGCCAAGGGCTGGGCAGGGACTTTCCCCAACCCGCTCCTCCGCCGAGCTGACTCCAACCCCATAAATGGTGTCGAAACACCAGGCAGTCCCAGAAAAGCTGGAGAGGGGTCCCCCCATCCCCTCGGAGGGGGGTGGGAGCAAACCACTCATCAACAGCTCACTGAAGGATTTGGGTGCACCCAGCCCAGGTGAGGATAGAAAGGGCCCACCAGGATGCCTGGGGCCCATCAGCCAATTCTGGGGAGGTGTGTCTGGCTGCCAGCATCTTCCTCTTCTCTCCTCTGGTCCTAGTACAGGCTGGAGGGGGGCAGGAGGGACCCCAAGTGCCCCGCATCCAGGCACCCGTCCTTAGCAGGTCGGGGTGAAAGCTGAGACAGGCAGCGGCTCCGTGCTGAGCGGGCTCGGCGGGTGCACCAGTGTCTGGTTGCCAGCGCGAGCGGAGCCCCTGCATATGCCTCTCGGCACACGGTTTCATTTCCATTCTCCACGCTTGTAATTGGGCTCATGCAACAGCCGGCTCTCGGGATGCTAATGACATGCTGATTCGCAAATTAGGGAGCAATTTGAGCCTGGCGCTGACTGGGTGCAGGCAGACACGGTCCCACATCTCACCCCATCATGGGCTCCTGCATCCCACCCCACTGTGGAGTCCTGTATCCCAATCCACCACAGGATCCTGCATCCCACCCTTCCCTGGGTTCTGCATCCCACCTCACTGCAGAATACTGCCTCCCACCCCGCCACAGGATCCTGCATTCCACCCCACTGTTAGCTCCTGCATCTGACCCCACCATGGGGTCCTGCATCCCACCCCGCTGCGGGGCCCATGGCCAACACTCCCCCAAGCCCTCCCTGCTCCATCCAACATCCCCCAGCACAGATACCCACGTCTTTGCCACGGATCTGGTCCTCGGTGAGCTGCACCTCAATGAGGGGCCGCACAGTGGTGAAGAGCTTCCACCACGGCCAATCCTTCACCCCTTTGTTCTTCTTGATGTTCTTCTGCACGCACCGGATGGCCAAATCCTGGATCTGTGCAGGGCACGGGGTCAGCACAGGGTATGGGGTCAGCACGGGGTGCTGCCAGCAGGGCAAAGTGGGGCGGGTGGGCGCTCAGCACCCCCACCAGCACCCCAGCATGCTCCCCTTCGTTAGCATTTGGGCTAATTGCACCGGTGTATCTTCTGTTTGATCCTCTCCAGCCCCTCTAAGTGCTAATCCCGGGAAGGCGAGGCGCTGCCGAGACGCCTATTTTACGCCTTCTTTAATGATAAAAGTAGGAGCTGATGCGTCACTTCATCCTGCCGTGGCGATGCCCAGCAGCCTCCCTGCCGGCTCCCCCTGGCCCCCCGGTTCCCCCTGGCCCCCCACGGCTCCCGGGGAGGCGGGAGGAGGAGGTGCTGGCCCAGGAGGCGCAGAAAGACTGTGCTGCCCATTTTAGGCGAAATTGTGCAGCAGAGCGGGGAGGGGAGAGTTGCTGGGACGAACCTTTCTCTTCTTGAAGTGCTGCCGTGCCAGGAAGCCCCTGCACGCTGCCTGGAAGAGGGTGATGTTCCTGCTGGTTTGTGTGTCCCGCTGCTCCTCCAGCTTGGCCAGTGATCCAGCCCGGAAAAACACCTGTGGGAGGGGAGGGGGACGGGATGGTGATGGGTGCCGGCATCCCACCAGCCACACCGTGCCACCCGCCTGCTGGTAGGGATGCAGCTCTCCCATCCTGTCCCAGCCACTGGTCCTGTCCTGCCGTGGGGTTTTATTCCCCAGGCACAAGGAATGCCGGGGGTGGGAGCAAACAGTGATGCCCTTGTGCTGTCCCACCGCGCTGTGCCCAGCCATGACGCACACCCCTGCCCACACCCAGCGTCAGGCACCATACCCGGCTCAAGCCCATGTGGTAGCTGCTCTTCTCCAGGTCCAGTGACTCCAGGAGCTCCTCCACTGCCTGTGGGGAGGGAGGAGTGTCAGGACTGGGATGGTGGCACCCTGGGGCGCAGGGGACCTTGGACCACACACTGGCCCTGACACAGGACACGTACCCGCTTCTCATCCACCACAATGTAGTTGCGCCCGTGTTTCTTGGTCAGGTGTGGGGCCAGGACATCGAAGCGCCGCCTGAACTCCGCAAACACCATGTGGTCGGGGTAACCTGGGGGAGCAAGGGAGAATGGGGCTGTGGGGACAGCCAGGATGCCTGGGGGATGGCCAGGGACAGCCTTGTGTGCCCTGACATGCTGAGGCCCAACTTCTGGGAGAGTTGACAGGGTCACCCCACGTGGAACAAGCTCCCCATGGGGCCAAACACAGCTGGAATGCCCTGAGCCTCCCCGGGAGGTTTTCCTTGGCTGGGTCCTCCAGCAATTTTGGCTGGGATCTAGGGAGAAAGTGGCCAGATCCCATCATGGGGGTAGAGCAGGGACACATGTGCTGCCTGTGCAAGTCCTGCTCCGGCTTCACTTTGAGCTGCAGCCAACTCCTGCATCAGGCTCCAGCACTGAGCCTTCACATCTTAATTAACGACGAGGTATTGATGGGAACTCTGACCCCAGCACGGCCGGCTGGCCACAGCCACCAATCCAGGAGGTGTGTGGGTGGCATCGATTTCCAATCACGGCAGGAAGGGTTCGGCCTCCAAGCAATAAACCCTCGGCTGGGCAGCCGGCCATGCGTATCGATAAACGCTTTGCTGAGCACAACTCAGAGGCCCTCGTTCCAGTGGGACAGGGGCTGGATGCCAATGGGATTCCTGCCAGGAACCAGCGGCACCAGTGGAGACACCCAATTAAGGCTATGCCTGTCCCCAGCACAGATAACGGGCCCCCAGGGGAGGGGTGACAGGGACAGGACTGCCGTGGGGAGACAGCTGGAAGGTGCAGGGCTCAGAGCAAGGGCATGTGCTGAATGGGTTACCGAGGGCCTTTGGCTCCCCAGTAAGAAGATACAGCCAGGACCTCTGTGGCATCCTTCCCCTCACCCTGGTGCCGGTGCCACGGCTCACCTTGGCGGTACATGCGGAGGGCGTCGAGCAGGCGGGAGCCGCGGAGCTGTGCGCGCAGGAGGGGCACGTCCAGCTGCATGAGCCCGGCCTCGCAGTGCTCCGCTGGCAGCTCCAGCTCGCTGCCGCTCACCCGCCGGCACGGCAGAGCCTGGGGGTCCCCGCCGCCCCCCGCCGCCTTGGGCAGGAAGCAGTGCACAAAGTGGAGCTTGGACTTCTTGATGCTGTCAATGAGGGCATCCTGTAGACACGGCAGAGCAGGGTGAGTGGTGATGTGCAGCAGTGCCCCAGCCAGATGTGGGGACCTCCACTTGGCACCCTCTCACTCACCACTTGCAGCTTGATCTGGATGCAGAGGGATTTCTTCTTGACGGCGGCCACGCCGGTGGTGAAGGTCTTGCGCATGCTGGTGGCCCGGCGCAAGGCCAGCTGGGAGCCCCCCTCCAGCCCCGCCACCGAGCCCGACAGCACCAGCGCCGACCCACCACGGCCGGCAAAGAGGCTGCTGATCACCTTCCTGCAGGGCACAGAGGGGATGTCACCCCCCAACACCACCTCTTCCTCCCGCCATGCTCCCAACCCAGGACCCCACTCACTTCTGGGACTCCTGTAGCAGGACGGAGGCATTTTGGGAGGCTGGGTTGTGCTTGACATAGTTGAGCCATCCGGTGGCATCGTACTCCACCCAGTTAGTCCCCGAGCTGTGGCCCAGGAGGAAGTGTCGGGGTTTGTCACTGGGGAGCAGAGGGTTGTGCCCTGTGGGAAGACACAGAACCGCTGGGCACAGCCCCAGGGACCGGCACTTCACTGGTGCATGTCACAGAGTCACAGAATGGTAAATGGTTTGGGTTGGAAGGGAGCTTAAAGGTCACCAAGTTCCAACCCTCACTCCACGGGCAAGGACACCTTCCACTAGAAAAGTTGCTCTTGGTCTAGAGGACATATTCCCACAGTGCCAGGCTTCCCCATACCTTTCTTGCCCCCTTCCTGTGGGCCATAGTAGGAGAAGAGCCGCTCCAACAAGGTGTCCTCGTTGCCGCCCGGCTGCAGCGCCTCCTCCTCCAGCAGCCACAGCAGCCCCCGCGCCTCGTCTGTGCGGGCCAGTGACCGGACCTGCAGGGACACCGCACTGGCAGCTGTCCAGCATACCACTGTCCCCCAGAGCAGGGATAAGGGGTGACACAGGGGACCCAGGCCACCCAGGGAGCATGCAACCTCACATCATGCAAGAGGCCTCCTGCTTAATGGAGACCCAGCAGGAAAAGAGCCCATATGGGACACTCCAGCAGCGCATCTCGCTGGGAGATGCAGCGCTCAGGCACCCGAGGGCTGGAGCCACAAGCCCTCCTGGTCTCTGCAGCCACCTCCAAAAGGGACTGGAGGACCTCAGGGCTTAGAGAACCTTGGGAACCTGTGCACCCTGGGGACCTGAGCACCTTGGGGACCAGATCATTCCAGGGATCTCAAGGACTGGAGCACCCCAGGGATCACACACAGTCTCCAGGTCCCCTGCCTGCAGCACAGGCAGCTTCCAGGGCATGCAGGGAAAACCATGCTGGGGGATGCACCAAGGATGTGGGCTGCACACATACTCGCACCCGTGCTTTCACAGCCATTCAGGACAGCCCCTTTCCTTCCCCTCACTACCACCTAAGTGCCAAAATTCCACCCATCCGCTGCCGTGCTGTGGTTGGGAGGAAGCGCAGTGGGTGCTTACCAGTGCCTGGTGTGAGGACTGGTCTACAGCAGCTACGGAGCCAGAGGAGCTGGGCTCAGCATCAGCCAGGGTGAGCTCTATGTTCTCCTGGTGAGGGGGAACAGAGGCAGGTGAATGCCCACACCACGGAGTAGCAGTGATTGGGATCAGGAGCTGGTCAGGGTGTTGGTCTCAACGAGGTTTAGGATGATGTCGCATGCCAAGGGGGGACCAGGACATGTGGAAGGGTCCCCCTAGGCTGTCAGTGCCAAGATGGAGCAGCAGCAGTGATCTCACCACCACCACCACTCACAGCCACCCCATCACCTCCCAGCCCAGCTCTCCTCTGCCATGCTCCACAGCCAAAGAAATCAGAGGGGACACAGAGGAGATGTTCATGTGGGGACAGGAGGGCAGGAAGGGAGGAGGCAATGGTAGCCCTGGGTGTCCCCGATACCTCCTTGTATCGCTCCAGCTCGCGGGCGAAGGTGCGCTGGTGGAAGAGGAGCTGCAGGCGCTCCTGGGCATAGTTGTGGCAGAGCTCCTCGAAGGTGGCCCCCCGGCTCTGCCCTGCCAGCTCAGGGTTCTGCGCCCCGGGGGTGTCCACAACTGTCACCGAGCACACCGAGTGCTGACTCGACTTCAGCGCCCTGGAGGGGACACAAAAGGGACTCAGCGGGGCGAGTGGATGCTGCCACGCACCCCGCAGCTCTGCCCCCAGCCCTCCCAGCACATACCTGTTGAGGAGGGAGATGAGGAGGGTGAAGAGCTCCGAGTACAAACCAGATGCCATGCCCTCCAGGCACTCCAGTGCCGTCAGCTTGGGACCTGGCCAAGGCAACCCTGAGTGTCCCCTGGGGACACTGTCATCCCCTGGGGCCCACCCGCTGTCCCCCCAAACCTCACCCTACCTGTTCCACCATCCCCCAGGGGGGACTCATCGGGGCCCTGCCGGAAGGAGGTGGAGCGCTGCAGGGTGGCCTTGGGCTGGTGCTTGAAGATGGCAGAGGAGAGCTCCTCCAGGCTGCAGCCCAGCAGGTACGCGGCTTTCTGAGCCCACTCGTGACGTGCAAACTGCTTCCTCCCGGCTGGAGGGTGGAGAAGGGGGCTTCAGAGCCAGGCAGGGCATCCCCAAAGACGGGGAGCATTTCCAGACAGGCTTAGATGGTCTCAAGGACCCCCAGAGTATGCTGGGGATGCTGGGCACAGTGGGAGTACATGGCCAGGAAGCATGTTTTGAGGTGTAAGGAGACAGATATGTTTGGGGTGTAGAGGAGATGGGGGTGAATGGCTTCATGCCACTTCAGGGTTGAGCCCACAGCCACACCACGGTGTGTGGAGGTGAGGGTCCCCTTGCCATCACTACCTGGGGACCTCTGGGGCTCTGAGCCACCCTACACACAGGGACATGTCCCTGCTCGATGACACACTGAGCAGCCCAGCTGCAGCACAGCAGGACAGACCGTGGCGGACAGACAAAGACATGGATGCTGATGGAGGTGGGAACAGGTTAATGGTGACATGCAGGGACATGACAGCAGGATGGCGGTGGCACGTGGGAAGGGAAGCCAGAGACACGGGCGGAGAACAAGACTTTACCTTCGTCGGCGTCTGCATTGCAAAGGGCAGCATGCACCATGCGAACAGAGACAGGGGTTAGAAACAACGGCGCGTGACGGCGCGGGGACACGCGGCACGGGGGGCCCTCCTGCCAAAACGCACCGCCACGCCACGCACATGCCAAGCCTGCCCCTCCCCGGGCATTGCTGAAGTGTGTGAGGTCTTTCCTCTGTGAGCCCCCCTGCTCTGTGGGCACTGGTGGGGAGCAGCTCAGCTCTGCCCCAGAGCACAGAGAGCTGCTGTCAGATCCAGCTCGGTGCAAGTGTCAAAAAGATGAGGAAATCGGGAGGGTTGGTGCGACTGAGCTGGCTCTGAGCACCCCCAGTGTCCACGAGGTGCAGGGGAGGCTTCAGCAGCAGCACAGAGCCAGGGTTGGGATGTTCCCCCCCCCAGCAGGATCTGGGATTCCCTTCCAGCAGGGCCCCCGTTATAAAGAGACTCCAGAGCTGCCCGAGCATCCCGCTGTGGTGGCTGCGGCAGGGCCCTGCTGCCCTCTAGTGCCCTGAGAGCACCCCATGGGCCAGGACTGCACGCTGATAGCACGCCATGGGCCAGCACTGCACCCTGAGAGCACCCCATGGGCCAGGATTGCACCCCACTGTGCCCCAAGAGCACCCCACAGGTCAGCACTGCTCCCCACTACACCCCAAGAGCACCACATGCGCCAACCCTGCACCCCAGTGCACACTCAGACCCAACACATCTCTTTCCCCAGGGCTGAAAATTCCCTAAGTGCAGCCACCAGCTCCGGGTGCTCATTTTGGGGTTGCCATGCCCCAGCCCTCCTGCCAGTGTGCAGCACCACTGGGGCTTCCAGCATCGTGGGGAGAAAAGGAAGCCACAGGGGGAGAAGAGCAGCCCCCAAAGCCTAATTTGCCACCCCCAGGGATGGAGAGTGAAGCTGGTGCTGTTGGAGCCAGACCAAGCACCCACGGTGTACTCTGGGTGCCAGGGCAGCTCTGCCCCACACCACCAATATGCTGACAGGACTGGGTTGGGGGTGCTCATGGGCATCAGGAACCAGCTGGGGGTCAGGGTTGGTCCCAGCACACCAGCAGCATCCCAAGCCCCCATTTCAGCCCCAAAACCAGCACCGTGTGGCACCCCCCAAGAGCAGAGCCCTCCCCCCCATTACCGGCTCCATCTGCCAGTGGCTCTGTGAGGAGGATGAAGGGAGAGGTGTTACACTGGGAACGGGGGACACATGCACCCCCCAACTCCCTCAACCCCAGCCAGGCCCCCTCTGATGCACGTTGGTAGAAGCCAACCCAGAGACTGGGGTGTTCAATTCCCACCAGTTAATGGGACCACCCCAGCCATGGGGACAAAGCTGGGTGCCACAGAACACCCAGGGTGGCAGGGTACTGTCCCTGAGCTGACACAGCCCCCCACATACCCCCAGGACTCGGCTGCACTGGGGAGGGCTGTTTGCAAGGTGCCCAGGTGCCAGCAATGGCTCTGGGACCCCTTGCATTCATCAGTCCCAAACCTCCACCCGTTAACGGCTCCCAGCCTGGAGAAGCTCATTACCTTTGGTGGCCCCAGCAGCTCCCAGGTGGTAAATGGCCCCCAGAATGAGCCAGAAGGCTTTCTGCTCATCACCCGAGATGCCCATCACCTTCATGGCTGCCAGGAGCTTGCTGAACTGCTGGGTCGCCTTCTGCTTTTCCTCTGGCTGTGGGAAACAACAGGAGCCATCAGTCTGGGAGCCCGGCTCTGCCTCCCCCTGCACTCAAACGGGTCAGAGACCCCTGTCCCTCCCACAGTCCCCCACGGCAGCAACCTTGGAGGGGGGCACGATGCCGAAGACGTTGTTCTCTGCAAGGTGGTTGAAGTGAAGCTCAGTCCTGCGGGGATAAACACCATGATTGGCTCCATGTGGAAGACCTCAGAGACCCCCATGGGCTGGGGGCTGTGCCCTCGCCCCCCAGCTCACCGCAGGGTGCTGTCGGAGCAGGCCAGCAGGTAGTAGAAGATGTTGAAGGTGGTCTCTTTGGCCGGGCGCCTGGCCACACGCAGCTTCTCCAGCAGCAGTGTCTGGAGGAGGTGGGAGAGATGGGAACTGTCCCCAAGTGCCCCGCTCCCACTGAGACCCTTCAGCCCACCCTGGTCTCATCCTTGCTGCCTCTCCAGGGTCCTCACAGAGATGTGAGGGTCTCCCTCCCACCACAGGGCACCATGTGAATGCAATCATTCAAATAGCTCACAAGCATTTGCTCTCTGGTGAATACTACTATAGTAGCATGGACCAGCTCTCTTGGACTTTAAGGGCTCTGCTGTCATCACACCAGAGAGGCATCTGGAAGACAGCCCCTCCGATTTTGGGACTAACTCACCAGGGACAGGGAGCCCATCTGACCTAGGTGTGAACAAGGACAAGAGAAGGATGCCAGGCTGCTGAGTGCTGCAAGCATGGCTGGGCAGCTGGTGGAGGTCTGCAGCAGAGCTTGCAGCACAGGAAACATCATGAGAATCATAGAGTCCTGGAATGGTTTGGGTTGGAAGGGACCCTAAAGTTCAACAAGTTCCAACCCCCTGCCATGGGCAGGAACACCATCCACTAAACCAGGTTCCTCCACGTCCTGTCCAACCTGGCCTTGAACACTTTCCAGGGGTGACAGGGGCATCCACAGCTTCTTTGGGCAACATCCCGGTGAGGACAGACCGACTCCCACACTGAGGGAAGCCACACTGGTAAGGATGGACTGGCTTCCATGCTGGGGGGAGGCCATCCCAGCCCCCTCACCTGTACGGAGGCAGATGCCACCTGCCCAGCCTGGTCGAAGTCCAGAGAGATGATCTGGGAGAAGCGGGTGGCGTTGCCGTTCATGCTGGTGCTGCTATTGCCAAAAGCCTCCAGGATGGTGTAGAGAGCCTGCCACTTCTCCGCTGCAGGAAGAGAAGCAGGGCGGTGGGGTGCAGGGGCTGTGCGGCGGGCGGGCAGCTGGAGCTGGCACTGCCGGTGCTGCTGCTCCTGTGCCATGCTCCGCACCATGGCAGCCCTCAAGAGTGCGGCAAAGGCACCGGCGTGAGGCAGTGACAGCCCATGTGGTGCGTGTCCAGCCGCTGCCACGTGTGGGGGGCTGTGAGTGCAAAGCAAGGGGCTTGCGCAGGCAGCACACGGGGACCCCGCAACCTGCTGGGGACTCACCGGAGAAGACCTTGCCGGTGCTGCCGGCGATGGTGGCGAGGTACTGGACCAGGTGCTGGCAGTTGGTGGTCTTTCCGCTGCCGCTGGCGCCCAGCAGCACGACGGCCTGGTCCTGGCGGCTCATCAGCATGCTGCGGTACGCGGCCTGGGCCACCGCGTAGATGTGCGGGGACATGTCCTCCCTGCGGCACCCCTTGAACATGTGCATGACCTGGTGGGGACAGGGCAGTGAGGGTCAGCACCCTGCCACCCCACAGCTCCCTCTGCACGATGCCACGGCTCCCAGCTGCCTGTCCCCTCTGGTGTGCCCCCCGCAGCATGGTCACCTTCTCAGAGTACATGGAGGGGGAGCTCAGCGGGTTGATGATGACCATGGTGGGCCCGGCGTAGGTGTGCAGGAGGTTGCCGCCGTAGCGCTGCCGCAGCGTGTGCAGCACGCTGGACTCATTGAGGTAGAGGAGGCTGGCGAGGTCTTCCACGCGGTCACACGATGGGGGGTTCGCCTGGCAGCGAGGTCGAGGGGGGCGTCAGGCTGGGAACGGGGATCTGCCCCACCGTCCCCCCGCCCCGCAGCCCTACCTTCTCCACATCATCCTCCTCCACCTCCAGGATAGCTCCATCGTGGTCCAGTTTCACCTTCACCTTGCCCTCGGGCAGGGGACTGCCCGCCTCCGGCCGCAGCTGGCTGCCTGCAAGGGGCACAGGGCACTCAGTGGGGCCGTGCTGGCAGCCCCCTGGGGACACTGCATGGGGGATGTGCCGCGGGAAGGACAGGGCATGCCACGTCCCAGCAGTGCCCCGACTCACCCAAGGAGAAGCCATCCCTGTGCACCAGCCACACCTTCTCGGTCTCGTACCAGGCCTCCTCAGCCGCTATCTGCTCCTCTGATTTGGCCTGTGGAACAGCAGGATGTGGAGTGGTTGTGGTCACCTGCCCCTGCTCTGTCTTGCCCCCTCCCCACATCCCTGGGGCTGGAGGGAGCAGGCTGACTGGCCACGGGCCCTCATGTGGGCCAGCCACAGCCATTCTTCACAAGTGTTCCCAGCCCCAGTTCCCATTTGCCCACTGTCTCCAGGGACCCCAGTGGGATCGGGGCTGCAGAGACCACCAGGGCCCTGCTACAGCTCAGGGCAGACATAAAGCCAAGTGACCCACAGGCTCATTCACCACAGCCACCTTGGGCAAGCCTGGAGAGCCTGAGCTCCCAAACCACAGCCCTGACACAGGGCACCCATTCCAGCCACGTGTCAGGATGCAGGGACACTGGGTATGCTGTGGGGACATGGGACATGCTTCAGGGACATGCTGTAGGACACAAAGGACACACTGCAGGCACATAACGTGGGGACACAGGACATGGCACAGGACCACAGCATGGAAAATGTTGGGCTGGCGTAGCCGGCACCCGAGAGCAGGATAAGCCCTAAAGCCAAACCTGAGCTGCGGCAGGGACGGGGCCAAGGGGAGCTGCCGGCGCATCGTCCACTGGACCCTGGCAAGGTCGAGAGACAGGGCTGAAGGTGAGAAGGGCTCAGCCCTTCCCCGCAAACAGCACGGAAAGCGGCGAGGGGAGCGAGCAGGGGCAAAGCGCCACCTTGTCACACCCTGTGAGCACTCCTGGTGCCATGGCCACTGCTGTGGACAGCAGGGTGGCATGTCCAGTGCTGTGCTGGAGACACATGGAGCCGGGAAGGATGTTGGCCATGAGGCCATGCTGCCAAAGCCCTGGGGGCTGGGGGTCACTGCACTGACCCGCTCTGAGCTCTGCCAGCACTGCACTGCTTCGCCACAAGCCATGCGTCCTGCCTGTGCCAGTGCTCTGCCCCTGCACATCCTGCTCCATGTCCCTGCCCGCCCCAGCTGTGCCACCTCCACCAAGAGCACCCCCCCAGGATGCCCAGCTTCCCAGCACGGCCCCTCTGGGGAGAGGCACCCAGCCCTGGCTGCCCTGGCACCCTCCAGCCCCATGGGTGCCGTGGCAGCCCACAGAGCAGGGTGGGATGGGAAAGCCTTACGCTCCAGCACGAGGCGCGGGCGCAGACGCCAGCCCAGCGGGACACAGAGGATGGCGGGGGGTCGCTGGTGCAGGCAGAGGGTTCCTGAGGACGGGGGTACAGTACCTGGCTGGGTGCCGAGGCGGAGGCGGCGGGGTCCAGCTAACGGCAGCAAGGAAGCAGGAGAGAAAGAAGAGAAGGGGTGAGAGGCAGAGAGCAGAAGCAGCACCCTGACAGGCCAAAGGCCCTGGCACGGCCAGGATTCATATGGCACCACCAGGACATCATCCGTCCCAGCCACCACAATGTGCCTGGGCTCCCACGGGGATGCCAGCATTTCCCCACCCCCAGGCACACTGGTCTGGGCAGTGATCCCCAAACCCACCAACAGCCCTGGTTATCCATCCCCTGCTGCCACCCAGAGAGGGATCGTGGGGTTGGCAGCCAGGCACAGGGGTACAGTCACCATGTGCAGAGCACACGGCATGCCCAGGGCAGCCACATGCTGCCCATGCCTGCCTATCCTTGGGAAGGCAACACGCAAGCACCAACACCCCTGGAATTACAGAAGTAGTGAAGATCCTCTCCAGTCGGAGCTGCGCTTCCTCAGATGGGCTCAGCTGGGACGCAGGGCTGGGAGCAGCCTGGAGGCAGAGCACATTAGCCCCAGGCCGGCCACCCCACAGCCCCTGCAGCCCTGGCACGTGGGTATCAGCACAGCCATTGCAAAGGCTTCCCCCACCCTGCAGCCCAGCAGGGTGAAGGTGCTGACACTGGCACAGCTGGGGTACCAGCAGGTACCCACAGTGCCTGGGGACCTGGATCCCCGCTCCTACACACCTGCTTGGGGGGCGTCGGGGCAGTTTTCACAGGGGTCGGCCGCTTCTCGCTGGTCTGCTGCTTCTTCTCCATATGAAATGGAGGGGAGACAAGGGCCAGCGTGATGGGGTTGCCACAGCACACACCATTGCCCCAAAAAAGTGACCCCCACCCACACCACACAGCCCAAAAACACTGCAAACCATGCAGGTGAGCTCACACCATGCTGAGCTGGGGGCACAACCCGCTGCCGGGTTAGAGCATCCCCCGCCGTGCACACACCGGTACCTTGTGCCTCTCCAGGGCGGTGGGTTTCAGAGCAGATGCCTTTGCCGGCTCCGCTTTCCCTCCCGAAGGCTGCACCAGCGGCTCCGGCTTGGCTTCACTGCCCAGGGACAGGGACGGCTTCGCGTCCCCACCGGCCGGATCGGGGGACTTCTCCTGCCTGTCCCCCGGCCGGAGCCGCGGCCGGTGCTCCTTGGTTTTGCCCTTCGCCATGAGGGTTTTGAGCCCTGCTGAGATCTCATCCTTGGGTTCCGACTTGGCAGGAGCTGCCGGCACCACAGCAGGGGGAGGTGGTGGTGGGGCCGGGGGAGCCGGGACACCCGCACGGCCTGTCTCCTCCTTCCTGGGGGGTGGCACTGGCTCGGGAGACTTGGCATCTTGCCCTGGCTCCTTGGCACTGCCAGTGTCCTCCCCTGGCAGGACTTTGCGGACCACCTTGCGCACTACCCGAACCACCCTGCGGCGGGACAGGCCCTGGCTGTCGTCCTCCTGTGCCTCGGCAGCCGGGCCCTCCAGCCCGTTCACGGCCGCCCCATTCAGCACCGGCTCTGGGCTCTTCCCTTTTCCAGCAGGTGGCTCAGGGCTCTTCGCAGGCTGAGGTTTTGGGGGTTCAGATTTCGGGGGTTCAGGTTTTGGGGGCTCAGGTTTCGGGGGTGCAGATGCCACATCCTTCGGGCTCTCTGACTGCAGCCACAATGACACCTGTGTGAGTGGAGGTCCAGCCACGGACCCTCTGCTTGGGACATGGTGTGCCCAAAGCTCTGTGCCCTGCCACGGAGCACAGCTCCTGGCCAGACCCCAGTACTGGGGGACACAGCTTCCAGTCCCCTTCCCCAGCCAACCTACAGCTCCCCACCAGACCCCAGAGCAGGGAGCAGTGGTGACCTACCTTCCCCACACACAGGGACCCATCAACCCTCAGGCTGCCAGCATAGGGGTAAAACTCAGTGCTCAGGGCATCACTGAACCCATGACCCTCCATGGTGTCCCCAAGCCCTGGCATGGGGTCTGTTCCCACCAAGGGTGAGCCCCATCCCCAACACAGCTCCACCCTGTCCATGCCCTGCAACACTTACAGGCCCGTCCTCCTTCACGGGTCTTTTCACAGCTAAAGATTTGTCCTCGTCCTTGACCTGAGGGTCAGACAAACAAGAGGAGCACGTTTCAGCCCACTGTGAGGCCTTGCTGCCAGAAAACTCACCAGGACCATCACTCCATGCCAGCCCCAATCTGCAGCCCATTGCAGGGAAAAGGATGCAAAAGCCTCCTTCCAGGCTTCCAATCAGCCAAAAAAGCAGGAGGAAGCGCAGAGATGCGCCCCAGTTATGGCAAACCCCAAAGGTGGGAGAGGTACATGCTCTGCCTGCCTGGCCTGGGCCCTCTCATCACATGCAGTCAGTGAGTGAGCTGGTACAGAGGCCCATTACTGCTCCCACAGGGCTCTGTCCTTCTGCAAGTCACTCCCCAGGCGTCACAGCACATTTTAAGTGTCACCAGCTAATCTCTGCAGCAGACGCACATGGGGTGTGCCAGCTCCCTGCTGAGCGGGGCGACCAGGGGGCTCTGGGGGGTGGATGGTCAAACCCTGTCCTGAGCCGTGTCTCTGAGTGCCAGGACTCGCTTGACACTGCGGTGCATCCCATGGGATTGCCATCACACAGCTCCTGGGTGGCTGGTGGCACCGGGGTGGCTCGTGCCGTGTTAGGGGCTGCACCAGCCACTCGCAAAGCGGTTAGTGATGGTGTTAGTGATCGCATGCGTGGCCGCGTCGGTGACTCCGCTCCAAGCTCCCCATTTGCTCAGCACGGCCCCCGGCACAGCAGCACAGTGAGGCCAGGAGTGCTGCTCCAAACATGGTGCCAGTGCTGGGCAAACTGAGGGAACTAGTCAGCAGCGTAACCCGAATGTGGGGCGCAGGCAAACATGCGAGAGAGACTTCCCTTCTGCTCCCAGAACGCAAACCGGGATGAGAATGCCATGGTGATGTCTCATGGAGCTGCAGCCCTGGCTGGGGAGAGAGGCAGAGGTGAGATGGGCTGGGGACAGCACACAGAAAGCCAAACCATGGCACAGTCTACAGGGATGTGTCCTTCCCCACTTGGGATCCTCAGGAATGGGGGTCTGAGCCCACCTGGCCTTGCTCAGTGTACAAACAGTGCCCACAGGAGGGGCTCTGGGGACAGGCAGGTGACCAGTCTGACACCTGACAAAACTCATTGTGCAAAAAAAGCCCCTTCAGTCAGGCCTCAGGATCATGCCCCCATTCCCCTGAGCAGGCCAGCCTGCTGTAGTAAGCAAATGCCAGGGTGAGGGAAGGGATATTTTCTACCCCAGCTCTCTGCTTGCCCTGACAGTCAGGGTTTATTCTGAGCCTGACCCCGTGCCAATAGCCGGGCAGCCCTGATGGGACCCACTGCCCTGGCTGGCACCCACTCTCCAACCCAAAGGGGTTGTGCCTGGGGCCATCGGGGAGAAATCCCCCTCCCAGGGCCAGGCACCGTGAGGAGGAGCACCCGGTCGCCAAACCAACCCGCCTGTCTGGGCACACACCGCCTTGTCCCTGAGGAATCCCCTGTACCCCATCCCCCTCACCACAGTGATTGATACACCAGTGCCGGGAGCACAGGTTGAACACGGGGGTCCAGAAACCAACCTGCCTATGGGCCAAAGCTCCCAAACCCTCTGCTTCCACTTCCAGGCAGCCTGGCACCCCAAAGATCCCCAGAGAGCACCGGCATTGGAGTCCCCAAAACAAACAACCCCTGGCCACCAAAGAGCCCCGGGGGTGGGTTTGGCCTCGCAGCCCCCAATCCCAGTGCCAGGACTGTCTCCCACGTGCCCCCCTCGTGCTCCCCCAAGCTGTGCTAGCCACACTGGGGGTCCCCACCTTACCAGAGGGAGCCAGGAGCGGGGTTTCCGCCGGGGCGAGCGCGGCACAGCACGGTGGGAGAGGCACTAGCGGGGCGGCAGCCGCAGCACGGGGACAGCTGGGCTGATAGGGCCACCCTAAAAATAGCCGAGGAATGCGAGGGCCCCGCCGGCGCACGCAGCAGCCGGAGGGAGAGCTGGGGGGGACACGCGGGCAGTGGGGCCTCACCACCACCACCGTCACCGCCGCCACTGCCAGAGGAAGTGATGTGGGCTCTGCCGCGGGGGGAACTGCCCAGCCTCCGTCCACTGTCCGCCCGGAGGGAGTGGGGGAAGACACCCCCGGACTGAGTGCAGCTGTGGAACTGGAGGAGCCAGGGAGAGTTCTGTGCCACAAGGGACGGGGTTGCACGCTCCCGCAGCCCGGGGTGCCGTGGCAGGGTGCCCAGTGTAGGAGCAGTGTGCCTGGTGTCGTGCCAGGCGGCGCAGCCCTGACACTTCTTGCTCCTCCTTTGCCTTTCCCATGAACACAACAGCCCCCTCCAAAATGCTGCTGGGGATGGAGAGCACCCCAGCACGGCACGGCAGTCCACGGTAAAGACACTTTCATGGCAAAGCCACCTCTAGAAGTCCAAGGTCTCCCTGGAAAGAGCAGGAGCGGGGCGGTGGGCAAGGGGCCAGGGGTCAGGGGCCTCCCTGCGCGGGGGCTGCCGGGAGGAGGCCGGTGGCAGGGAGCCAGGCACGCCGGCATGGAGGGGCAGTGGTGACCGCTTGGGCACAGGCACAACGGGGACCCCAGCAGGCACTTGAGCAGGTCCAAGACAAACCAAACCGACACAGATGTGCCCTGAGCCAAAAAGCATTCCCTGGAGAAGCAGAAGGTCCTGGTCCAACTGGGACAGCTGTGCCAGTGGCAGGCTGGAAATCCCCATGCTGGGAACACCAGCACTAGGCCACATCCCTCTTGGCCCACAGGACTGGCACCCCGTGCTGCACAAGGGACAGGTCACAGCAAACACCCTTAGTAGGGCTGGCACAGCACAGCTGAGAGTGCCTGTAGTGACACCAGTGTCCCCAGGTAGTGTGGGCAAGGAGGCACCACCAGGGAGGAGCCCATCTCCCACAGGTCACCTCCACCAGGATGCCCAGCCCGGCCATTTGGTGATGAGGCATTTCTACCTGGCCAGCATATTCCTCTCATTCTCCTTCAGGAAGTTTGTCAGAGACGCACTGGCCTATAGATGAGCCCACTGGACACAAGCCCCGTCCCCAGGACCTCTTGGGACCCCCCCACACACTGGGGCACCCAGCAGCACCAACCCCACAGTGCGGACAGAAAACCAGCCAAACCAAGAACTTCCCAAGCATGGAAAAATGGAGACAGAGCCTCTGGCACAATGAGAGTCCCACATCCCCACCCCAGTGCAATATGGGGTACCCAGCCATGCCATAGCAGAGTGGCCTTGCACTCTGGGGACAGCAACCTCCAGGGACCTGGGTGCCCAAGGACAGTGGGCACACATGGTATGCAGGGTCCACCAGTGCAGCCTCTGGATGCCTGTGGTCCTGCTGAAGCACTGGAGTGGTCAGAGGCATTTCTGGAATATTTCTGCTGGGCCGGCGCATGCCTGGGCCCTGCCTGAGGAATTTCGCTGGTAAATAAATAAATACAGGCGTGGAGCTGAGCCAGCCCGGCTCCCCTACACCGGGAGCAAGGCTGGGACATGGAGGGGGTTACACCCGGCACCCAATGTCCAGCCACGCCGTGCCACCAGCTGGCCCCCCCATGCACCTCACAGGACCAACAACCCCCCAAGACACGGTGGGTGCTCCCCTTGGCCAGCCAGGTTCGTGGGGACAAGGGTGACTCAGCACAGACCCAGTGAGGGGGTGAAACCCCCCATGGTACACAGAGAACCCTGCACTGTCCCACTCCAGCCAGGGAGGGGCTTCCACAGCAACGGCCCAAAATATGTCTATAATTTCCTGTTTCAAAAAGGATCATTTTTATTTAAATTAGGACCAGAAACATTCCAGGGAGCTTAGTGGAGACTGGGGGAGAGCTGGGCCTCCCTGTGTGCCGGCACCTTGCATGAGGGACCCCCAACCGTACCCAGCACCCCTGCCTGTGCTCCCCAGCACCGGCAAAGGTGTGGTGCATGACGCAGGAGGAGAACAGCATCCTGCAGCAGGACATGCCCAACCTGCAGTGGCAACCAACGCGTCTCCACAACACAGTCAGTGCCAGCCCTCCAGTCAGCTCCCACCGGCTGATGCCATCAAACCACACCGTGTCCCGGCACAAGGCTGCACACTGCAGCCTCTCCCCTGCAGCCCCAAGGGCACCGGCATCTCCTCTCTCCTTCCCAGCCCAGCACCACACTTCTGGTAGGCACAAGTGCCTCGCCAGCCCCCGTGTGCCGGCATCCAACGCACACCTGCTTCCATGCCAAGGTCTGCAGCACGGGCACAGCCGTGCCCCGCCGGCCCCGCGGGGTTATCCGGCCAGGGGTTATCCCTGCAGCACCGCCGGCACTGGCCGGTGACGCCTGCCGGGCTCCGGGGAGGAGCTGTCAGAAAGCCACTGCTCCAGCTTGGCGCAGACTCCACCCCGCAGTGCCGGCATCTGCTCGAGGAGCACATGGAGCCCCTTGGCCACCCTTACTCCATCCTGGCCACCATCCTGTGGGCACGGGGCCCCGCCATGCTCAGCATAGCCCTCCCCGGTGCGGGCAACCTGCTCCACACCCTCCTACCCTAAGGAAGGCCTAAAAATACACTAAACGAGCCCAGTTACACACACTAAACAATGTCACACTGCTGCACCCCCTGTCACCACAGAGGGGGCTCAGCTTTGCAGGTTGTCGGTGTTTGGGGGCCTCTGCCAGGGTGCTGGCTGGCCGGGACACTGACTAGCCCGCGGCAGGGTCAGCAGTGCCGGGCAGCAGGAGTGAGGGATGTGGGTCACCCAGCCATTAAGTTTCTATTTATACACCACCAGCAGCAGTCGCGCACACAGGGCTGCACTCGCCAGCAGCAGCTCCCGGCCCCTGGCACACTGTGTGCCTGCCCCAGTCCCCAGGGAGGATCCCAGTTGAGGGAGGCCAATGTGGGCAATGGAGCAGGCAGTGTTGTCCTGCAAAGCAGCATTTGGAACTTCCTGGCAGTGAGGAGCAAAGCTCCCTTCCCTGCTGGACAGTGCTTCCTCAGCAAAGAGATGGGGACAGACTTCCCCCGGCAACGCAGAGTAGGGCTTTCCTGCAGCCCCTCTGGCAGGAGAAAGACCAAACCCAACAGCACACTGAGCATTTTGAGGGGCAAAACCCACCAGTGATGGTTTGTAAGACCTGATTAGGCTGCACCCCAGCCACAGCCTCCCACTCCTCTGTGCATTGCTCCCATCCAGAGCAGCCTCAGCACTCACTGGTTCCCACAGCTCCTGCCAACCCAAACACCCCCGCAAGGACGCTGGCACTGGCAGAACCCAGGCCCCAGCAGCACCCACGGCAAGGACAGCGTTACTCACATCCCAGGCAGCACGGCGTGTCCCCTGGCCGCCCCGCAGCCAGCACCGGCTCAGCTCGCTCAGCTCCAGGATGGGCTGCACCTTCAGCTGCACCGTCTCCCCCGACTGCCGGATCATCTCCACGATCTCATCCCGGGATTTGTTCTCCACGTTTAGTCCGTTGATTTCCACCAGACGGTCTCCCGGCACCAATCCCAACGCCAAATCTTTGGTGCCAGCTCCGGGCTCGGCGAAGTGCACGACACGCCGGTACACCTGCCCATCGGGCCCCCGGTCCAGCATGGTGGTGCGGCGCAGGGAGAAGCCAAAATCGCCGGTGTTGCGCCTTTGCAGCTCCAGCTGCCGTGGGGTGGGGGGCTGGGGGGGCACCAAGGCGGGCAGCCGCAGCTCAATGGGGAACCTCTTGCCGATGAGCTCCGGCACCCTGGCACGCAAGGAGGTGGCAGGAGGGGTGCAGGGCAGTCCAGGGGGAACCCCATGCTTGTCAAGTGGGGTCTCCAGCGTGCGCACCTCCACCTGCGGGGAGGGGGCTGCCGAGTGCTCAGAGGGGGTGGAGGTCTCCGAGGTGCTCTCATCTCGGCTTTTCTGGGAGAAAGAGAAGCGTTTGACGATCACCTGGGAGTTCTGCTTGGCCAAGGAGCCAAACTTGGCCGCCCGCTGCAGCACCGAGCCCTTGAAGTTGCCATCGTCCACCTTGAGATCGTCACTGGAGCTGGCCGTGCTCAGGTGGCCCGAGTCCAAGATGACACTGCCCCGGTTGCTGTCGGAGTCGATGTCCGTGAGGTGCAGTTCGGAGCCGCTGGCCACCTTGATGGGGATGGGGTTGGAGATCTCCAGGCGGGTCTTGGAGTCCCGCTTGGAGGCACGGTTAAGGTTGAAGAAGCCCCTGCGCATGCTCATCTCTTCCAGGCTCTTGAGCTCAGCTGCTGACATTCGCTCCTTCTTCTCCTTCTTTTTCTCCTTCCGGGCCCCATCCTTCTCTTTGTCTTTCTTCATCAGGTTGAACATGGTGGAGGGGGGCTTGGGGCACTCTTGCCCCCGTGGCAGGGCGCTGGGTCAGGGTGCTGGTCACGGCACAGCCGCCTGCACAGGACAGAGAGGCAAGGGTGCTATCAGACAGCAGCATGGCCAACACCCACTCACCACCCCTCAATCCACCCCACTGGTCATCCCAGCTGCCATCCCAAGCCCAAGGGGTCATGTCCCAGCATTTCCACCCTCCCTGGGGACAGCAGCACCACAGGGCTGAGACTGCCTCAGTCATTGTGTTCTCACCCCAGCTGGGCACAAAGTCCTAGAGATGCAACAAGGGTGGCCCTGCACCCACAGGGATGTCCCAAAAGAAGCCCAAAAGCCTTGCATCCCTGTGCATGCCCCTGCCAGCACCAGGACTGACTGCAGGTGAGACCCCCGGCATCTCCCGCAGCTCAGGAGCCGTTTCAGAGCTGCACGGGTGAGCAGCAAGGAACACATTCTGATTGCTTTTCCTGCCAGCACGGATACTCCCCAGGGTAAAACCCCCCATCCCAGCCAGCCACAGCACCACCAGCATCCTGCCTGCCGTTCAAAAGCCCCTTGTTGAGGAAACAGAGGCTCCTCTGCTGCTCATCCTGGCCCTGGCCACCGCAAACCGCAAGGGAGAGCCGCGGGCAGGGAGGGAGCCGGAAACATGGCCTGGAGCGAAGGTTGCTCTAATAAACAGGAACCTGTAAAATCACATCCCTCCCAACACTGATAAGTGTCTAATTTTAGCCAGGGCGACGTAGAAACTTGTGACGCCGACGGCGACCTCCAGGAACAGTCGCTCTTTCATTTGGGCATCCCGCACAGGGCGGGGGGAGCACCCAGCCAGTGGGAAAACTGTGGTTGGGCAGAAAACCCAGCTCCTTCCTGGAAAACCCCACATGCACCCAGTGCCTGGGAGCACCCACAGCCTCACCCCACACAGGGTGCTATGGGACCCGTCTGCCCCTGGGGTAACTGATAGCCCCTCCCTCCCCCAGCCTCCATCGAGTGCTCGGGATGAGGATAAACAATTCCAAAGTGAAGCAAGCGGCTGGCAGCGCCCACGGGATGGGCTGACAGCTATATATAACGGGTCAGGAAGCCGCACAGGAACTTAACCTCAGCACAAAGGACAACAGGAAAACTCCCCACGTTTGAAGCATCTGCTTTACAGCTCTCTGACGGGTGTGGGGGTGAGGTTTGGGTGGCCACAGGGATGGGTAGCACTGCCCATCATGTCAGCCCAGGCTCTGCAGGCATCCTGGGGTGCATGGATGTGCTGTGCCGTGCCAAGCTGCACCTTGGCTCCAGCACAGCATCAGTACTGCATCACCATCACTGCCTGGACCATCTCCCTGCAAGAGCACACAGTCCCCATTGCCCTTGAATGCACCCAGTGGGACACTGGGGAACTCAGTTTCCCCTTGGTAAAGCCACACGGGGATGGCAGGAAACTGCCTGAACACTGCTGCTCCTCAGGGCTGGGGCAGGAGCACACAAGCTCAGGAGAGGCCTGGCCACAGGGCAGGTGAAGACAGAGCTCTGCAAGCCATGGCACAGTGCTGGCCCCGAGCATGTGATGCCGCCGAGGCAGTGAGGGGAAGCAGCCGGAGGGACAAAGTCGGGTATGTAGCTCTGAGGCTCCTGGCCATGTCCAGAGCAGCTGCCATGACACCACCCAGCCCTGGGGCTCTGATTGCTCTGCCCTCCCTGCAGCACCTGGGGCTTTACCCAGACAAACAGCAGGACCTGGCCAGAGCAGGACCACAAAATTCATAAAAACAACCCAGTTCCTTTCTCCTCTCCCAGAACTGCTGGCTGCGAGGTGACCACTGACCCGAGTCAGGGGATAGCACAACTCCTTCCCATGACCCACAACAGGTGCTGCTGTGAAGGGCCCTGTGGCTCTGCCATCACAGGGGCTGCTCCCCACCAGCTCCTCCATGGCTCTGCCAGGGCCTCAGGGCAAACAATGGCAGGGAGGGAACCACCTGTGCCTGTCCCTGTCCCCACACATGCCACTGGTGCCACAGTTGCCTGGACATCCCTGAAGCTGTAGAAAGGGCTGTACCCCCAGGAGCACCCTGAGCTCACCCCATGGCAGGGAGGGGGCTGCTGGGACCCTTCCCGAGGATCCCCTGGGAGCAGAGCTGCTCACCAGGCAGGTGCTGCTTAGAGCTGAGGCACTGGGAGACAGGCGGCCAGCGCGCTCTTTGTCCTCGGCGGTTTCTCTCCCGGCACACACGCTGCCTCCCAGCCTTTGTACGCTCAACAAAAAGGGGGAACAGCCTTCCCAGCCGCATCACTAATCAGGCAGCACCGGCAGCTGCTGGTGCAGCCACGTGTGCCCCACACAGGGCCACAATGGGCAGGAGCAGGGCAAGGGGGACAGGAACCCCGGCACCCCCCCTGCACTGGTCCCCCAGTCCATGTAGAATGCCCTTGTGGTTTGTCCCCTTTTCCCCAAGGAGGCTCCCGCCATGGGGATGCTGGATGGGTGCAGCCCAATCCCACGAGCAGGAGGCGGCTGCTGAGCTTCTCCTTGCTCCTGATTCAGACCCAACACACCTTCCCTGACTCAGCCCAGGCTCACTCTGGGACTCTTCATGGCCAGGCGTGTTTGGGGTAGCGTGTATGAGCCATGACAGGGGAGGGAGAGGCACCCGCCGGCGCCAGCTGTGCTCTGGGATCGCACGCGAGGATGCTGCTGTGACACCCAGACTGGCAAGTGATTCTGGATGTCACTTCGGAAGGGCCAAGAGGCGAAAAAGAAGACCCAGCTTGAGGTTTCCCAACCCAGTAGCCCTCCCTGAGCCTCTCAAGCAGAAGCTCGGGGGGGATGCACCTTCTCCCTTGTCCCCCCATCATGACCATGAGCCCCCACATCCCTGCCAGGGCGCCGGGGAGTTCCAGGCAGGGAGGAAGGCGTTCACTGAAACTCCAGGCCACTCCTTCCCTCCCCGAGACGCAATCTCATCCGACACGCTCCCGCGCAGGGACCTGCACTGCAAGTTTCACAGTCGCCTGCCCTCCCCGCTCTGCTCCCCGACACAGCGTTGGCTGTAGGGCCCTGCTCACCCACGGCTTCAGCACAGGAGCTGGTGGCCATCACCTCCTTGGACACACCATGTTGGGGTGTCCCACATCCCCACTGTGCCCGGCTGGGCAGGGACAATGCTGTGCCAGGGAGCAGGAGCTGCTGGCATCGCTGCCAAGCAGCCAGGCCAGCTCCCACACAGAGGAAAGGGGGCTGATCTGCGTGATGGCTCCTTGCTGGACACAAGTTTTCCACAGAATAAGGAAATTTAGGGAGTTTCCAAATCCCTCTGCACTGCCTGCCCTTACAGACAACGCTGGGATGTGTCAGGAGGAAAACAATACCAGATATACATGAGTCACAGCCAGGATGTGCCACCAGGCTGTCACCAAAGCGGGATATTGGGTCCTCCTGCCACAGGAACCACATGTCCAACAGCAAAGGGGACCCAGACTGGCTGTGAGGTGTCCCCATGGGCCAGGAGGGTGCACAGGGTGTGTGAGGGGGGTTCAAGCACCCGCCTTGCCCTGAAGCTGGGCAATGACACAGCTCAAGAGGCCTTACAGGGCAAAGGTGGTGGGGCAGGATCCCAGCTGTGCTGACAGGTGGGAGACAGTTCAAAGAGCAGCCGGGGGTTAGGTGGGTTAGCTGCCCCCACACTATCTTGCACAGGTCTCCCCCACCACCTGTTTCTGGCCCCAAATTCACAGCCTGACACCCAGCACAGCCCAGCCCACAGCAAAGGTGAAGGGCTGAGCCCCGGCTCGTCGGCGGGCAAAGTCCAGGGCTGGTGCAAGCGCTATGGGAATGCTCGGCTCCCAAGAGGGATGGGGCGGTGAGTGGGGATCCCCCAGTGCCAGGGCCAGCCTTGGGGTGCAGGAACACACTGCCCTGAGCCCACACTTTCCTGTAATTGACCTAAGTTTAGCTTTGGCACTCATTGACCAGACAATTTGCATCTCACAGGCCAGCTGGAAACCACACAATTTAGGGATACGTGTCCTAGCCCTCACCCGACGCTCCATATATTCCTCTCTGGGAAAATTAACAGGCACTGGGGTGGCCACAGACCTGTGAGCCCCCCCTGTCCTCAGCACAGCAGTCTGCTGAGGGGCCACCCACCCCTGTCACCCCAAAAAGGTGCCCAGGTGCCAGTGCCTGCAGCCCCAGCACTGATGTGGTTAACGGTGAGCTGCGTTAATGGCTTTGGATACAATTCCCTGGCGTGTGGGAAAGGCCCTGGCCAGCGGGTTCTGCCTGGAAGCAGGACTGGCCCTGGGGAGCCCTACAGAGGGTGCTGAGGTCTCCCAACATGAGGCACCTGACATGAATAATCCTGCAGGGACAGGCTGGCTGTACCCACGGAGGGTCCCTGCCCACTCTGGAGGGGCACAGCTGCCCCCACGGCACCCACAGCTGGGTGCACACACCTCCAGCACCCCCGGCACGGGTGGGACACGCACAGGTGCCGCAAAACAACGAGGGGGTGGGCCTGTGGGCATGGGGACACAGAGGGACACAACACACAAAACACGCCCCACAGCGCAGCGGGGGCACACACAAGGTGACACACACATGCAGACACGCACACGCGTGACTCCGGGGGCTGCACACCCACAGGCGCTGCACGACAAGTGCGGGCCATGCGCACACCCGCACCCCGCAACCGGAGGGGGTGACACCGGGGAGCCCGCACACACACACACACACACACACACACACACACACGGTGGTTCTGCAACGCCGCGGAGGCGCGGGCGCGGGCACGAGCAGCGGGCACGAGCACGGTGCACGGCCCGGCCCGGCCCGGCCCGCCGCGGGGGGCGATGCAGCCGCGGCCCGCCCCGCGCCGGGAGGTGCGCGCCGGTGCCCCGGCCGCGGTGCCGGCCCTCGGTCCCCGCTCCCCGGTTCCCAGTCCCGGTGGGATGGCGGAGGTTACTCACCCAGCGGCGGCGGCGGAGCGGGGCCCGGTGCTGGCGGCGGCGGTGCCGGGCCCCGGCGGCGGCAGCGCGGGGCGGGGCGGGGCGGGGCGGCCCCGCACCGGGGCGGGCACTGCCGGCTGTGCGCGCGCCGCCCGCCGCGCCGGGCGCGGCTCCGGTCGGCTCGGAACGACGGCCCTGCCCACCCGCGAACCTGCGGGCGCTCAGCCCCGGTGCGCCCCGCACCGCCCCCACGGCGATATAACCACCGTACGGACCGGTGCCCGCAGGCCGGTGCGCGCCCGGGACCGGTGCAACCCCCGCGCCGCACACCCGTAACCTGCCCACGAAGCGGGGTGACCCCGCACCCCCCCGCGCACGCACAGCCCGTGTGCACCGGGGCACACGCGGTGTGCGCACACCCTGGTGTGACACGATGAGACACCGGCCGCCCGCACACCCTGCACGCACACGCACACCGGTCCTCGCCGTGCAACACACACACGCTGGGAAACGCACAGGTCGTGTGCTCACACTGCTGCAAGCACAGCTCCGAGCATCGCACCGGTGCACACAAACGAACTGCTGGGATTCCCCTTTGCGGAAGGATCTCATCAGGAGCAACACCGGATCCGGCACAGGGAAGGTTCCGGGATGCCGGGTGGAGCCGGAGCGTAGGGAATACAAAGCTGGACGTGCAGAGTTGCCCGCAGAGCCGTTTTGCAGCTGGTGCTTCTCCCCCTGCACCTGTCCCCAGGGAGGGCTGTCAGCCTGCAGGGACTGACTGTGAGGGCAGTGCCCGGCTGTGAGGAGGCAGCCTGTGGTTAATAATAAGCATTTTCCAGCACACCCAGCAGCAAAAGCCGCACAGCCTTTGTTCACCCTTTCCACTGTGTCCAGCTTTGAGACGTCACGCCAGAGTTGGTCACATATAGTTAGAATCCTGGGACAGATGGTTTCGGGACAAGCCCCACCATCTCTGTGCTGGGTCAGCCTTCACTGGCCATCAGGTGTGGGAGCAACTGGGTCCAGCACTTCACAGGACATGGGTGGCTTAGGGAACAGGGACCGTGGGGAGATACATCCAGAGTTCTTTCCAAAAGCATTTTTCAGGGAGAGCTCCATCTCTGCTGGGAAGCTCAGGACAGACAGAGGGATGACAAGGACAGGGGTCTGCCCCCAGCACCATCCCTTCATCCTCCAACGGCTCCTGTCCTGTCCCAAGGTACCCCAGAGGACTCACTCCAAACCTCTGCTACCATCCACTACAGGCTGAACTGCGTGGTCTTGTCTCTCCTGCCATCGGCCTGTGAGCCTGTCTCTTGGGACACACCTGCCTGGATGTCACAAGCCCTGCTCCCTCACAACAATAAGGCTGGCTGTGATTTCCAGCCCATGGCACGTGCCCAGGACACAGTCCCACCGCAGCAGCAGAGCAGGACACGTATGGGGCATGGTGGGAGCGAGCTGACAGCCAAGCAAGGAGCCCTGCGCTGGACCCTGGCCCGAGGGATGGGGCAGTGGAGGAGATGCAGCCCTTGCAGTGGCGGAGGACGGCGGCAGCGAGCGCAGCCGCCTGCTTTTGTCGCACTCTCCTTTGTCCCAGGCACGTGGCACCAAGCACAGGGAGCCACAGCCATCTGAAGAGCTGGGATGGAGACGGGTGAGCTGGAAGGGTGGCGAAGCCCCATCTCAGCTACCAGGCAGGTTTTCCGGATGCGGTGGCGAGGGGCCACGTTGTGTGACTGTACCTCTGCCCTGCTCCCCAGCACAGGTGGGTGAACAGCCAGTTACAGCCTGTGGCAGCTCCTGCTTCCTTATCGCACTGAGCAGGCGGCTGTGGGCTGATGCTGGTTGGAACCGCCAAGCTGTGGGACAGCGCAGGCTCCCCGGTGTCACACAGCTCTGCCACCAGCTACCCAGTGGGGCCACCTCCTGCCACCTCCCCAGGGATAAACACCCCGTGCTTCCCAGCGAGACAGCCAGCTGCTCATGTCCACATGATCCTGTCTGGCCTTGCCAGTCACAGGTTAGGCTGCCTTGAGCAGATCTCCCTGGCAGGTGGTTCCCCAGGCACCAGCAAATCCCACATCCAAGGGAAGTCTCTGTGTTGCCCGAAGTTTTCTATGGAGAAGCGGGACAGAGCTCCGGTGCCACTGGCATTTCGGGTGCTCCTGGCAGACGCAGATGGCTGGCCAGAGCCAGTGCCTGGAGCCGGGCTGGGAGGAGAAGCATCTGTTTTGCAGCACCGCGGGGTTCCCTAAATAGGTCACTGCGTTTTTATAGTCTCTTGGATCTAGAAAAACCAGTTGTTCCGGACAACCTGTGGACCTGCCAGCATCGTCGCAGCGGTGGCTCCCTGGGTGCTCCCCGTCGTGCCCCCAGGTCCTCACAGGGGGGGAGGACACCTGCCCCACCAGCATTGTGAGCAGGGGGAGGGGCTGGGGAGCTCGCAGCAGCCTGAGCTGTGCTGGAGGTCCTGTTGTATGCTGAGGGTGACCCGTCCCTGGCTGTGCCCAGTGTGGAGTCTGCAGGGGGGGCTTTCCTCCTCCCACCCTGCCCCTGGCTTGGGGTGGCTGCCAGCTCCAGGCTTTGCCCTGGGGTGGTTTCCAGCCAGAGCCAGTGTTTTCCCTTCGCAAGGAGAGGCAGGTGCCTGTGCGGGGGCAGGGGGGGTGCAGAGCCGCACACCCACCGTGCACCCGCATGCGCCGGAGGTGTCCCAGCCTGCTCGGGCTGAGCTCTCCCTCTAGTGGCACCAGACTCTTGGCAGAGCCTCCATACACATGGGGTGGCAGGAGCCGCGGCCAGGGCATGTCCGAGGGGCTGGACCGAGCTGGAGGGCGAACTCCAACCTGACCTCCTCCCTCAGCCCGGGTGCCCGTGGCAGGTGCACAGGGAGGGCTTCACAGGAGCGTCCCACCTCCAGACCCCTGTTCTGGGGCGAGTGCAGGGGGCAAGTGGTCCTGCTTTTCTCATTGTCTGACCCCACATTTGCTGGGATGTGGCAGTACGATCAGCCAGCGCGCCCCAGGAGCCAGCGTCAGGCCTTGGGGGTGCAGTCCCACAGCTCCGTGTCACAATGATCCCCATCAGGGCGACACCGTCCCCATCCCTGTCCTTATCCCACAGCAGCCAGCGAGGGGAAGGGCCCCCGCAAGCCCCAGCTTTCCCCTCGTCATGGCAGTGCCCTGCCCGCAGGAGGGGTCCCGCAGGACCGCGCTGAGCCCCCCGAGGCCCGTCTGGTCGGGTGCCACCCCGCCGCGCGTCCCCGCAGGGTCCCCCGGGCCGGGCGCCAGGCCCATGCCGCAGGCAGCGCTGACGGGGCGCTTTGTTTTGTGCGGCCGCGGCTGCCCAGCGGGGAGACAAAAGGGGCAGTCAGACGCGGGCATTGTGCCGGCAGCCATGCGCTGAGGCAGCAGCCCGCGCCGCCACGCTCGCCTCGTGACCCCCGACGGCCCGGGCTGTGCCCGCCATGGCGCCCCGGGGCCCGCGGGGCCTGCCCCACAGGAGCCCCACACGGGAAGAGGCCGCGGGGCTGGTGGCTGTGGTTGCCACAGGGATGAGGCCTCCCCAGACCCGTGTCGGGTCCCCCAGTGCGGGGCCGTGGCGGTGGCAGCGCTGTGTGGAGCGCTGTGGCTCTGTGTGCCCGTGGGGACATGTCTGCCAGGCCCACAGCAGCCCTCACCTCCAGCCCCCCTTGCCCGCCATGGGAGGAGGGTGTCTGCACTGACACGGTGAACAGAACCCACCTTGGCTGGAGGAGCAAGGTGACTGTGCCTGGTAGACACCCAGCCGAGCCCACCACCCGCAGGGTCTCACGGGGAGGTGTCCCCACTGTCCCCACGGTGCCAACTGGCGCCAGGGCCAGGCCAGCCCCCAGGCTCGCCCCGTGACGGCGCGGTGCATTGGCCCTGGAAAATGCCAGCGCGGTCAAATCGTTGAGTCATTTGTGACCAAGATTATCTGTGCAAACAGCCGCCCTGATTATTTTTTTTTTTTATTATCAAATTTTTTTCTTTTTCCCTAAGAATGTGGCTCAGACCATGGGGATGAGCAGCTGAAATCTCCGGGGATCAGCAGGACAATGCCAGAGCAAGCATTGTGCTGACGGCTCTGCAAACGCTGGCACCGGTTCCCGGCCAGCAGCACCCTATAAAAGCTGAGCCGCTGAAGTAGGCAAACATTACATGGGCGAAGCAGCAGTAACCGCCTGAGCTAGGTGAGTCCTGGGACCGATGCGCACCTCTCCCACCTCGCCCCTGCTCACCCCTTTGCTGCCAGCTGGCCAGGCAGACACCCTTCCTCTTGCCTGGTAGCAAAAGACACCCAGAGGGACCATCGCCATTTCCCGTGGCATAAGACAGGCTCACACATCCCCGCTGGCAGCCGGAGGGGCTGAGAGCCCCTCTACCGCAGGGCACCCCACTCCTGGCACCCACCGGCACGGCACACTGGTTGGCATCTCCCACCATTAGCCTGGGCCGTCCATGGGAACCCACTGCACCTCCCAAAGGAGGCAAGGCTGGGGCACCGGGCAGGGAAAGGGGAGCAGGCGGGTCTGTTGGACACCGCCAGGCACAGGGCAGCCTGTGCCCCCTGCTGCAGTTCCCGGCTCCGGGGTGTTTTTCCTAGCGATGGTCTGGCCCCAGGGAAGGAGAAAGGGGAATCGGGCACCATGCCCTGGCGGACGCGCAGGCTCTGTGCCATGGCCGGGAGGAGGGAAGGGGCACTGCAGCGGTGAGACGGGAGCACCTTGCTTTAGATGTGCCCCACAGCCCCCCTGCTGTGCCTCCTACCCCATCCTGTGGCCGGCAAGAGGGTTTCATTGTGACTGGTATGGCTTGTCCCCAGCAGTGGGGACAAGCTGTCCTCCAACAGGCACTGTGGGTGGTGGGCACAGAGCTGTCTCCCAGCCTTGTGAGCAGGCAGCAAGGATGCACAGGGACGCGCTGCAGTAAAAACGTCTTTTTCTTCCTTCTCCAGACACCGATCCAGCAGCAAAGATGGCTCAGACAAACCCTCTGCCTGTCCCCATGGGCCCGTGGAAGGTACGTCCTCACACCTCCTGTATCTCGCCTTTCCCTGCGTGTAGGTGGGAGACAGGGAGAAGGGCAAAGTGTGTCCTCCGGGGCCAGGAAAGCTGCACAGCAGGCAGTGAGGCAGGGACAAGCACAGGAAACAGTCACTCCTGTCCTCTACCCATGAGAATGTGACTCCTGCCTGTTCAAAAACCTCCCAGGTGTTTTTCATAAGGGTCTTCACAGCATCCTGGCCCAGCCATGCCCTGCTCTTACCAGCTGTCCCATGCCAGGCAGTCACAGAGTCCCTGAAAGCCACAGGCTGTTGTTTGCCCTACCCTGTCCATGCAGACAGGGTGAGCAGGGGCCATGGGCACTGTGGAGCAAGGTGGGGAGCAGCCCCAAAGGGTCTGGCAGTAGCTCCAGGGCCACAGGTCTAGGAGGGAGCTGAGAGGGAGAGGAGAAACACGTGCACGAGAGAGAGGCACATCCCGTCGAAGCCTGGAGCTGTCACGGGAGATTCCGTCAACCGCAGCCCCCCAGGGAGGTCCCGCTCGCCCTTTCCCCCGTTAATCCTCTTTGCCCTAGAGCGTTCGGAGCAGAGGCCGGGAGAACCGCCAGCCACAGCCCTGCCACCCGCCCGTCCCAGAACGGCTCCGCTCCTCTCTCCGGACGGCACCGCTGCCCCGGGAACTGATCTCCGCAGGGGTGAGCAGGAGAGTGGAGCGGGGGCCAGCCTGCGGCTCCCCCGACACCAAGGCAGGGCGTCGCGGGGCCAGCAGTGCAGGGACGCGGAGGCGTGTGCGGGGCTGTGTCCCAGCCCAGAGGGGTGCCTGGTGCAGCCTCCGCTGGCTCTCCCTGACGGAGTGTGACCCTCCGTCTCCAAGAGGCGCTGAATCGCCTGGGGCCACAGCTGGGCAGTTTCCAACTCGGCAGCTCACTCTCCGTTCCAGATCACCGTGTACGACCAAGAAAACTTCCAGGGCAAGAGGATGGAGTTCACTTCGGCCTGTCCAAACATCATGGAATGTGGCTTCGACAACATTCGCTCCCTGAAGGTGGAATGTGGCGCGTGAGTACCCAGCTGCCAGTGGCGGGGATGCTTTCCCAAGGCAGGCTGGCTGGGTGAGGGGTGCCCAAGTGTGGAGCAGGACCGGCTGTCCTTGCTCCGCTTGGCTGGAGCCAAGGAACACAGCCAGGGGAAGCCAGGCATGGGGGAATCCCACCCTGCCAGGGTAGAGCAGCCAGCCCTGGGCAGCACTGACACAGAGAGAGGGCCAGAGAACAGTGAGAATGCCTTTGGCATCATTCAAAACTGCCTCCCACGGTATTGGAGCAGCCAGGTTTGGAGCAGGGTTGCTGCCCAAGGATGTAGTGAGGATCGGTGCTCAGTGAGTAGCTCTTGAGCTCAGCCTGCTCTCCATCCTGCCTGTGTAACCCTGTGAAACACCACTAGAGAGCCACCTCTCTTGCCCTAGGGCCCAGCCCTGCTCTGCCTCAGGCTTTCCCTGCACTGCACAGCTCCCCAGGGCCGAGGCAGAACCTTCTCACAGCCTCCCCAGTCCTGAGAGGGTTAGGGAGTGGAGTCAGGCTACTCCCTGCACACGGGAATCTTCCCTGGCACACGCGAGGCATCTCCCGAGCAGCTCAGAAAGAGTGTGTCAGGATCGGTCCCCACAGCGAGCATCCCGCTGGGGCCAGCAGCAGACGAGATAGATTTGTGCTGCTATATTTAGGATGTGTAATGCTAATGGGATTACAGCAGCGTGCGTGCTCACGCCGTAATCAGCTCGCTGCTCCAGTTGACGTGTTCCTAATCAGTCTGTTCACCTTGCACAGGGTGGGCTGACTGCAGGACATGGGTTTGGGGCCCAGTTTAGGTCAGTGACTGGAAGCCCTTGACCCCCCCCCCCAGCTCAGCGTGCCCCTCAGCACCCTGCATACCCCATCAGCAGGAGCTCCATGGACTGCACAGCCTGTGGCACCCACCTTCCTGCCCTCAGCCCTGGCCTCCCTGTTCCACTGCAGCTGTCTCGTCCCCAGTCTCTTTAAGGGGATGTTCCCAGATGTCCCCACCCTGGGGACAGGCAGGTGCCATGTGGGCAGTACCAGGGCTTGCCAAATGTGTCCTACAGGGTGGAGGCATCCCACTCACCTCTCCTTGTTTTTAGTGAAGAGGGACACCCAGAGAGGGGAAAGGCCACAGCTCCCTGCCCTGCCCAGAGCCAGATGGGCGCTGCCTGCTTTGGGCATCAGGAATTCAGGTCTTTCCAGCCGTGTCAGGTTGTAATTGGGAAACAAGTAAGAAATGAGGCCTTTGGGAGAGAAGGGCAGTCAGGGCATCTGGAAGCGATGTTGGTCTGTATAGATAACGACAGAGCAGCCAGGGGGAAGAGCCACCTGTGCAGGATGGGCCCCTGGAGGGGGGACCCCATCTCCCACCACAGCTGGGCGGGTGCCTCCCCAGCACCAGATGTGGTCACACACTCCCCAGGTTCTCTGCCCACATCCAGCACCAGTTCTCTCCCCACATCCATCATCGCTTCCTCTCCTCCTGACCTGTGGGCAGCCCCCAACCTCCTCCTGGCACCTACATCCTGCCCCGGTGCCAGCTCCAAGCAGGAGGCCCTGAGTTGCCGCAGGAAGCCCTGGCAGCCCTCGCTCTGTTTTTGCAGCTGGGTCGGTTATGAGCACACCGGCTTCTGCGGGCAGCAGTTCATCCTGGAGAGGGGAGAGTACCCGCGCTGGGACGCCTGGAGCGGCAGCAACGCCTACCACATCGAGCGCCTGATGTCCTTCCGCCCCGTCTGCTCCGCTGTGAGTGTCCCGCCTCCCGCTCTGATCCCGGTAAAGCGTCCCAAGCTACAGCAGTGAGATTACGAAGGGCAAACACAGCTATGCTCAGCTCTTCTCCCCCGCTCCCAGCAGGATTTGCTCTGTCCTGTTTTTTAAAGCTTTTATGGGAACTTCCAGGCCAGATGTACCTGGCCAGAGCTGGGGGACAGCCAGCCTGAGACAGTAGTTGTGGCACAGCTGTCTCCAACACCTCCCACCGCCCCCAAAATAAAAACCCAGAGAGGGTCTGAACATCTCCCTCTCCGGGAAACCCTCCCAGCAATGCCATTAGGTAGGGACATTACCACCCATGCTGGGGAGGGAGCACTGCCTCCCCCTCAGCCCCTGCTCTCCCCTCCCAGAATCACAAGGAATCCAAGATCACCATTTTCGAGAAAGACAACTTCATTGGCCGCCAGTGGGAGATCAGTGACGACTACCCCTCGCTGCAGGCCATGGGCTGGGCCAACAATGAAGTGGGCTCCATGAAGATCCAGTGCGGCGCGTAAGTGATGGGCAAAGGACCGGGAGCAGCAGGGACAATCCGCTGCCACTGCTGTGCTACCACAGCAGGGGAGGGGGACACACCCTGTAAACCCCCTGCTTACCTCTTGTCCTTTTCTTCCAGCTGGGTGTGCTACCAGTATCCCGGGTACCGTGGCTACCAGTACGTCCTGGAGGCTGACCACCACGGTGGAGACTACAAGCACTGGAGAGAGTGGGGTTCACACGCCCAGACCTCCCAGATCCAATCCATCAGGCGTGTCCAGCAGTAGCTCCCCACCTTCCATCTCTGCAAGGTTTCAAAAGCTCACCGGCTCCCTCTTGGTGCTAATACTCCCCTCCCGAAATAACCACCCCCTCTCGTACTGCCACTGCTTATGGAACAACACTCCCAAACGGTACCGACTGCCACAATTGCCAATAAATGTGACTGAAAGAAAAAGATAAACCAGCTTGGTGTGTGTTTGCTCTTGGGTGTTTGGGGCTGAGGTTGCACATCCCCATGTGAGCAGGGGCCAGACTCTTTCCTGCCCATTTTAAGCAGGGCTGAAGCCCAGTGGGGCTCACATCGAGAGAGGTTCGTTGCCCCACTGTCTCACACACACAAACCCCTGGTTGCTGCAGCTCTGCAGCCACGTGGCTTCCTTCCCTCTCCTTCCCCTGACAAAGTAAAGGACATCTGGACCCCCACCCAACGGAGCCATGCTGGCACCTGGTACCCACGTACTCACAGCTCGTGGGCTCTGCAGCTGGCACTGCCAGGCCTTGGGGACCAAAACCCAAGCAGCATCCCTGGGGACAAGGGCTGCTCCCCGAAAACGCAAAGAAGAAAGTCACACTGACACCCACAAACTTTAAAATTTTTATTCAACAATTTACATCACTTATTGTCTGTCTTAACGTATTCGATCTACACAAATTTTTTCTTTTTTTCCTGATAAAATAATAAAATTTGGATAAATTTTGAAGACCTGTTGGTGCAGAATAAACAAAATTTCATTTTTTTTCTTTTTTTTTCCTTTTTTTAAACATTTAGTGTGAATTATGACATCATTGGTAAAGATACATCATGCCATTACAGCTCATGGACATTACCTATCCTTACAGTCCGTGACATCACCCACACCAGCGCAAGGGGCTGCGCCAGACACAGCTACAGCAGGTTTTACACTAACTCCTCTAGCCACCCTCTCACCACCAGGAAAACGCCTACGCTTTTCCAGCTGGGCACACAGAGTGCATTAACCTAATCAGAAATCACCGGGGAGGGGAGAAGGAAACAAAGACTACCTTTACCGATCGGTGTGGTCGCACACTACAACATCGACACCAAAGAGGGGCTGCCCCTCTCTGCAGGTCAGAGGTAATTCAGCTTCTGAGCAGGTAGAGCACAACCCCTCGCAGCGATTTTAATACAAACCAGGAACAAAATGAGAACTTATCGACGGGGAAGGGGGGGCAGGAGAGGAGACGCCCCGGCGGCTCCGCCTGCAGGGATCTCTCCAGCCCCAGCTCGCAGTCGAAGCACGCGGTTGTTTCGCACCGCCCTTAACACTGAAATATTCAGGGAAGGGGGAGAGAGGGGCATCCATCCCCCCAGTAAACAAGTCGAGGACCTTCAGAGGCTGGGAAGCCGCTGAAGGTGTGTAAGTACACGTGTGATGGTAGATAGAAAAGCAGCCCTGTTCTGTATGAAAAAAAGCTGTCAAGTTAGTACAAATTTCTGCCACGGCGAAGGGAACAGGAGGAGAAAGCTGTCAGGGCCCTTCTCCCGTCACCAAATCCTGACTCTCCCGCACACAGGCTCTGGGCTAAGCAACATGTTTCCAAAGGTGGTACCTGCAACCCAACGCATGAAAACAAAACCAAAATAAAGCTCTCACCCCCAAGGCCGAAGGGAGCCCACCCTTTGCTCCAGCCCTGCAGCAGGATAGTGAGGAAGGCTGTCCCTCCCGCCTCACAGTGGGAATACACAGCAGTAGGGTTCCTCTTGGTTTATTTTGTCATTAGAAGCTTCAAGTTTGCCCACACCACCAGCCTGCAGCGCAGTGGACTGGTCTCCACTCCCTCCCCAAAGCTGCTTTGCGTGGGGCCGAGCCCGCACTCCCTGTCCCCATGGGGACACCGGCAGGTACCACACCACGCTCTCACCAGAAACAAAAAGGGCACTGGTTCATCTGAGAGTACAAAGTGTATCTGAAACACAAGCCAGCACACCCCGCTCCCTCCGATTCAATTACTAAAGTAGGCTCTTTAAAATAAAAAAATAATATATATATTTATATAGCTATACAGAGAGATACAGAGAAAGCAAAGGAGAGAGAGAAAGAGAGAGAGGCTACTAAAATAATCAAGAAGCGCCAGTTTTCTGCTATAGCTGTCAGCAAAGAACTGTCACCTTACATCATACCCTCCAAGATGGTGAAGAGAATGCAGGCAATGACAGCACAGGAATGCAAAAGAGGGCAGATAAGTCACTTCTGGTAATGAGACACAAATTAAACTTTCAAAACATGTGCATAGCTTTATTCATCTGCTTCAAACTAACCTTTTCACGGAGCTTCAGCGAAACTCGAGTGTGCAAAATGCATTTCTAAAAAATAATGCAAGCAAGCTTTCACATTTACTGTGGCAGAAGTACAGAAAGACTCGGACAGAATCACACGCTGGGGCGGGAGATGGAGAACCCAGAATTGCACAGCTTGGAGTTCTGAGTCACTGACTGCAAACACAAGCATTTCGATTTTGCGAACTTTAAGCAAGCTGTGTTTACTTCTCCTTTACAAAAAAACTCAAAAACCCCACAGAAACAAGAGCCACAACCTGGTAGGGAATAAATCCCTTGGATAATGGGATCCTGGTGCTGCAGAGGCTGAACTCCAGCAAAGCTGGTTCCAGACCTTGGCTTGTTTTGGCTCTGCAGGCAAACCACGGCAATGCTGATTTTTGTCCACAGGAGAAGAGCGAAGCAGCTTCTCTTTCTCTCCCTCCCACTCGCCTCCAAAGTCACAGGTGCCACCCCACAGGACACCATCCCAAAACTCTAAGACAGCCACTAACACAGGCTGGATTCCAGGTCTCATTTCGATCCAGAGGGTCGCTGGGACACTAAGGAACCTGTTGATGGGGTGCGGCCATCGCGCTGCCAGCGGGAGCCCGGCCCTCCCAGCCACGTCCCCCCAGCTCACACACCACCAAATCTCTTCAGAAAGACTAAGCACACATGCAAGGCACATTGAGTCAGATGTACACACACACATGGGTGTGTAAAAGAGCAAACGCTGGCCAAAAAAATAAAAAATTGATGCTGAACAAAGTACTTAAACAGGCAGAGAGCTCTGGCCTATGTATTTATAGACTATTTTCCAGGCAGTTGTAATCCCCAGGTGTTTTTCCTACACGACTTCAGACCTTCCTTACTCTTCCCTCACTTTTATTTTCCTAAAGGATCTTCTATAAATAGTCAAGTAAATTCCCTTTTTTTCCCCTTCAGTAAACTCTTCCTTCAGGGTACACATGCCCCCTGTGGTCCAGGTGTGACCCATGCTAAGAAGAGGTTGTGGACCTGCCTGTGCCCCACAGCAGTGCCTTGATGGAGCGAGACCTCCCTCCACTACTCCCTAAGCCTTTTGCTGACAGGTTTTGGCTGGGTGGATGCCTTCACTTTGCTTTTTTCTTGGAAAACATCCGATCCCAAGTGCTCTCCAGCACCCAAGGGCAGCTGGAGAAGGAATTGGGGGTGCAGACAGGATGGAGGCAATGCAATCTTTAATACTGCTGGTTAACTTCACATTGAGATAAAGCATTCAAAAGATCTTTTCGTAGAGATGAGCAATTTCCTTCTAAAGATAAATTCAAATAGAAAACAAATATATTAAAACCGGAGACAAGAGCTGACTGAGATTTTTCTACCTTACAAGTTACTCAGGCACCTTTCCTGCACCACCAGCCACGGAGGAAGAAGTTGAAAACCTCAGGGATTTGCACTACCCTTCCAATAGCAGCTTGAGAAAAGGAAGGAGGGGGGAGGGGGAGGAAAAAAAAAAAAACCAAACCAAAAAAATGCACAGTGTTCTCTCAAGTTAAAAGAGTTCTCCTTTGCTTGCGTTTGCATAGAAATTCCCGTAGGTCAGCACCAAGATCAGGTACACCCCTGTCCTACACCCCAGCTCCCCCAGGTCCAACACTCCCCGCAGTCAGTGGCTGTGTTACAGGAGGGTTCAACTATCCGCAGAGGAACTACATGGTCATGTTAAAAAAAACAAAACAAAACAAAACAAAACAACAAAAACGAAAACAAAAGTGCATCACACATTCTTGATTTTCAGGGTTATACTTATAGCAGCAGCAGCATTAATCCAAGACAATGAACAGTTGTAGATTCGTTCTTAAAATGCAGCAACACTCAATGAAATGTCTTCGGGGAAGGGCATAAGAGGGTCCTTCTCAAAAGGATAAAAAATGAAAATTAGACTATTCAATGTGGACAAAAAGGAGATACAACAAAAATTAAAGACACAATCTTATTTACATTAAAAAAACCCCCAAACATTCTTGTTAAAATATCTTTACAACACCTAAGCAAAAAAATATGTATTTTAAGAATAAAGCAGAAACTCCTAAAGCAGTATCCATTTTTGGAACCCTTATTTAGCACCTGAGGAAAGACCGTATGGAAAGCAGACAGGTTGGGTTTTTTTGTTGTTTTTTTTTTTTTGTTTGTTTGTTTTTTAAGAAAACTGTAAATTGTCTTTTTACTAAACAGAAATTTGCAGTACACGAGTTTCATACCACAGAAAGAAATGAGCAATTTTTGTTGTTGTTTTCTTTTTAAAGATACTCTACTCATTAATAAGGCTGTAGAAAAGGGACACTGCTATCTTACAAAATGGCTTTAGAGCTCTGGACACGTTATATGAAGCTTTCTCATTAACAGTCAAGACAAATCCAGCTCAGCATCCCCCGGTGAGGGCACAGGCAGGACTCCTGCTCCTGTCCCGGGACAGGGAGCAGGCTCATGCCCTGGACATGAGGCCACCACAGGGTTCTTGTATCTCCCCAGACATCCATGGCTCTGCAATGCCACTTTTGAGGATCTCGGACAGGACAGAGGCAGCCAGCCTGACCCTTGGGTGTAACATGCACTGGGCAAACCTCTAAAGCTCTGTAATCCCTGGGAGGCAGCACATCCACAGTGCACACCGAGATCTCCTCCTTCCCACCAGCCCAGGTTCCTGCTTTCCAATTGCTTCCACTAGGGCTTTTCCACATGGAAAAATGCTCTGGTGGTGGCCAAAGCTAGAATTACTCTGGCTTTTTCAGCTACTCCATGACACCAGCCCTTTTCCTGCCTTCCTCACCACTGTGAAAATGTGTAGAAGCTTTAAATTGGGTGAATCCTTGCTCTCTTCCCTCCTGACCTCGACCATCTCCCTTGTAAACAGCCTCTGTAAGGAAAACAAATCACAACGGATGGATGGAAGAAAAATCTTCTAGGGATGAGAGGAATAAGACTCCTGAAAGCTTGGGACACCATAGCAATTTACTGAAGATGCTGAATCAAGATCAGAAACAATGCACAGGAAAACTACCAGCAGTTCTGAAACACGGCTGCGAATGCCATCGCTCCCAGATGTCCCCAGGGTCACCCACTGGCCACTTGGGAAAGGATGTGATGGTGCTACAGTGTGAAAGCACTAATTACAAGCACAACTGGGAGGACAACTTCCATCTCTCTTTCTTTCTTTCTTTTTCCTAGCAGGAAGCAATTTTCCTTTCCCTTTAGCTGGCTGGTTCACCCATCACCGCTCCCAGCCACCAAACAGTGGATTTGCAACCTAATGAGAATTGGGGTTTCTTTCCACATTTTGGAGAAGGTCACAGCAGCTACTGAAGGCAAACAGTGGGATTTAATGGTTCTGAAAGGTTCGAAGTGGGTTAGTGGCAGAATCCATGCCCTGAAGCTACCCACTGGTCAAAGAGAAGAGAGATTTCTAACAGGTTTCACAGAGGATCGTGGTGGGTTTAAACCAAAACCAAACTCCAACCAAACCTTGAAAGAAAACACACTGCCAATCTACCAGATGGGTGAAGTGGGAGAGGGCAGAGGCTGAAGGCCCCAAACCACTGTCACCAGGAACAGAGAGCAATTTTTAAATTACCTCTTGGAGCAGATGAAATGCCCCCTGCTCCACCAAAGAGCACACAGATTCCGAGCTGGATCTGGCTGGCACTTCAGCCTCTGTTACACAAGACCCTGTACAGGAAACGCCCAGAAGAACCTGCTGGTGGAGGAGGAATGGTGGGGAATGAATGACCAGAGGAGAAAGGAGACAGCCCCTGTCCTCACAGGAATCCTCACTCCAGTAAACACACAGCTTGCCAAGGAAACTCACAACAGGAACAGAAATGAGAGAGAATTCTTAACCTGAATTAGTATCTTCATAGCTAATAAAAAAATAGGTCATGATCTCACCCTTAGTGCCACTTTCCAATACTACACATACTTAGGAGGGTTTTGTTTTAAAACTTACTTTACTCAGTGTAATGAAAACAATGGCACAAATAAATACACGCTCGCTCTCCTTACACATCAGATGCTCACACGCACCGCCGGCTCCTCGCCCCCACAGACACCCTCGGGTGCAGACCCAGGACAGGAGGCTGCTGCTTCCCTTCCCAGGCTGTATTTGGTTTATGCTACAGTACTAATACTCTGAGTCAAACAAAAACAAAACATGAGACTTATCGGTAACACCTTATCGTTATTTCAATGTGCTAAATTAGTCACAGCTCAATTTCAGGTTTTTTTCTTTTTTCTTTTTTTTTTTTTTTTATAAGTTTACACAAAAATAATCAGAAAACAGATTAAATCTTAAGATATTTTTAATAAGTGCTCAGTTAAGAATTGTGTGAGGACTTGGGGAGGACTGCAGACAGCACAGGGCGAGTTACACGACAGCACGAGGAAGTTCCTTCCACGGTCCTGCCTGGCTCTAGGCAATAGTCTATCCCAGAAATCCTGGGGAGCCGGAGCTACAGGAGCTGAGAGAGAGGAATTCCTAACTGCTTAGCGCTGAGCACACACCATGGAGCTCACGGAGACAGAAGGACAGACGTCTGAACAGAGGATGGTCAGAAATACAGCAGAGAAGGTGCTGCCGAGGGTGTTTCTGGATGGGTCCCGCTGGCGAGGGGCCACGCACAGCGAGGCAAAGCCACAGGGATGAGCATCAGGGATAAACCAAGCCAACCCATTGCTTGAACCATGTTTCTCTCAGCATTTCTTTTGCTAGTTAAATGAAAGACTGGACTAGGTCAAGATGAGAGTCCTCCAATATTCAGCAAGACTCAGACCATTCTAAAGGCGCGGGGTCCTCAGCACTAGTTAGTGCTGCTCAGCTCCTGCATCCCCCCGGCCCCCAGTGCAGATCTGGGATAGGAGTACAGGACAGCACAGACCCCAGGGAAGCAAAACAGGGTGTTTTTGTAATTTTTTTCTTTTTTTTTTTTTTTTTTTTTTATGGAACCTAGCCCTTAAGGCGACAAGTGACTACACAAGGCAAATAAAATACACAGCAGAGCCTTAAAGCCAGTAAAACAAACTGGAAACTTTGCTACTAGCCTTCAACTTTTTGAAAATAATAATAAAAAGGAAAAAGAACACTTCTTCCACCTTAATATTCCCAGTCCCCACCATCCAGTTTGTTCAACACTTTAAAGCTCAGGAATGCCCCAGCTCTTCGGCGGCGGAGCCGGAGGCAATTCCGACTTTTGGCAAGCAGTTGGGAGACTCAACAGAATTAAAACAGGGATGTCGGAGGACTAGATGTTGGGCACATCTGTAAACATGTTATACATCTCAAAGTTACACACACCTGTAAAGGTGGTACAGTTTATAGGTGAAACAGAACTATTTGCGACTGGCCAACCACACGTTTCTGAACCTGGACTGATACAATACATGATGACTATATAGTATCACACTCAGTATTATACTATATAGTGGTTGATACATCAAATGGAGTAGGCAATCCATAGTCATACGTTTAAAACTAAGTGTGGCAGAAAGCTAAGCGTCTTACACAAGGTACAGAACTCAGTTTCACCGTCCCACCATGAACCCAAGTGTCTCATTCAGGAACAATCTTATCAAAAGTATAAAAACAATTAAAAAAACACATGCTACATACTCCTAATTAACAAAACAAAACAAAAAAGCAGATCATAGAATCATCAAATATGCTGAGTTGGAAAAGACCCATCAGGACCAGTGATTCTAACTCCTGGCCCTGCACAGGACAGTCCAACAATCCCACCATGTGCCCGAGAGCGTTGTCCAGATGTTTCCTGAACTCAGGTTTGGTGCTGTGATCACTTCCCTGGGGAGCCTGTTCCAGTCCTCAACCACCCTCTGGGTGAAAAACCTTCTCCTGATATCCATCCTAAACCTCCCCTGACTCAGCTTCAGGCCCTCTCCTTGGGTCCTGTCACTGGTAACAAGAGTGAAGAGATCAGTGCTTGCCCTTCTTCTGCCTCTATGAGGAGAGCAAAGACCACAGTGAGCTTTTCCCTGTGTCCTCCAGGTTGAACAAACCAAGTGATCGCAGCTGCTCCTCATATGGCTTCCCCTCCAGACCCTTCCCCATCCTCATGGCCTCCTTTGGATGCTCTCTAACAACTTAATATCTTTTTTATATTGTGGTGCCCAAAACTGTCCCCAGGACTCAAGGTGAGGCTGCCCCAGGGCAGAGCAGAGCAGGACAATCCCCTCCCTCACCAGGCCAGCAATGCTGGGCCTGATGCCCCCCAGGACACAGTTGGCCCTCCTGGCTGCCAGGGCACTGCTGACTCATGGCCAACTGGCCATGGACCAGCACCCCCAGGTCCCTTTCCACAGTGCTGCTTTCCAGCATCTCATTCCCCAGTCTAGACACACAGCCAGGGTTGCCCCGTCCCAGGTGCAGAATTCAGCACTTGCCCTTGCTAAACTCCATATAGTTGGTGACTGCCCATCTCTCTGATTTATCCAGGTCTCTCTGCAGGGCCTCTGTGCCCTTGAGAGGTGACAGATCCTCCCACTTTAGTGTGGTCAGCAAACTCACTTAGTATCCCTTCGAGTCCTGTGTCCAGGTTGTTAATGAAGACTTTGGAGAGAGCTGGGCCAAGGATGGAGGAGCCCTGTGGAACCCCACTAGTGACCAGACACCAGCCTGATGGATAAATCTAAGCACAAGGGGTATGCAAAAGTTTTGGGGTTATCTGCTTACTGTAATGCCCCACAGGGTCCAGACTAATTTTAGGACACACCAACTGCTGCTGACCTTGATAACCAGGAGCCAGGATTCAGCCACAGACACCCACAATGAGCACTGGGCATATGTGGAGCTGGGGTTGGTCAGCAAACCCATTTCTGCTTTATTCACTTCTCACTCTTGCACTGGACCCTGTGACCGTTCCATCTTTAAAAAAAAAAACCCAGAAAAACTACCCAACCCCCAGATGATTTGGACACTCGACACAAGCTGCAATGGGACAGAGTGGGTTACACAGTTGGAGCCTGCACTCTGCTCAGCCTTCCCTACCACTGCTAGGAAGCCTTCCTTTCCCTGGGATTTTTTTTTAATTATTTTTTAAATTATTATTTTCATTCCTAAGTCCTCCATTTTTTGTAATAAAATATATTTTTATTAAGAGATAATTAGAAGCAGAGCCCAGAAATACACAGACTGCATTAAAATATAAAAGAGCATTTCCAAGGGGCAGGAAGCCCAGCCATTGGCGTTCTATGGACAAATTGAAAAGGATTCAAATTCCCATTTTTCTTTTTTTTTTTTTTTTTAAAACTTTTTTCTTTTTTTTGTTATTTTTAAATTTTTTTTTTTTTAAGAGAAAAAATAATTCAAGAAGGATGAAAGTTAGCAGAACTCAATTCCTCTTCAGTTTTCCATTGAAAATGGGAAAAAAATCCAGCACATTTAGTGTTAGGAGACAGACAGAGCAAATATGAAGCACCTACAGTTGAAAGCAGAAGATACTTTTTTTTTTGTCTTTTTTTTTTTTCTCGCTCCCAGTAATACAATGGCATTAAACTGTGGGAACAGCAGGGGTTTTTGTTGTGGGTTTTTTTTTTTTTTCATATTAAATGCCTAAACAGATTGCTTATTTTTCCACGTTGTCTTTTAAAATGAAATAACTCTTCAGCTGCAATAGTCCAATGTGTAACAGGAGCCAGGTCAACTGTGTGACTTCACCATGCATCCTAGAACTGCAGTATTACCATCTTTCCCTCAGCAGAACGAGCTGTTTTAGACAATATCCCCCGCATAGGATTGCTGCTTTACTCCTGGCAAAACATGCGGCTTATAATTCTCTGGAAAAAAAAAGAAACTCTGCAAACTTCAAGGTGTTTCTCCAGCATTCAATGGAAAACAAACCAGAAAAAAAAAAAAAAAGAAACTAAATGGGGGAGGTGAAAGGGAAAGGGGAGATGAAGGATGGTGAATCATCCTGATTTCCCTGTGATTAGTGTGTCACTACAGTCACAGAACAAGAAACAGAAACCTTGTCAAGTGGAAATGCCTCTCCAGTGGGTTGCTGTTGCCCATGTAGACGACAGCAGGAACTTTGAAACCGGGCTTGTAATTGAGTCTGTATTCCTTAATCACTTGCATTCACTCTTTAAACAAAAACAAAACAAAACAAAAATGAAAAAAAAAAAATCTATTCAGTACCGGAGATTAAATAATCACGTGTGTAGTCTCGTTGAAATAAATTTTCAGATTCCTTAAGAAGTCTAATTACTTTCAGTTGCCACTTTTAAATAACTATATATATATTTGTATATATTATCCTGTGATTCTAGTTATGGTTCCTCTGCTGCACTGAAGATTTAGAAGGAGCATAAAAGCCTTTTTGTCCCCCACGAACAGCACAAATGCTGCAGAAAGGTTATAACAGGCAGTCTTGTCTTGCTACCTTCATTGATCCGGGCGATCCATGGCTTCATCATAAGTGATTATCCTTTTGGGATCTGGAAAGAAAGCAGAATTCTAAGTTTTTGACAAGCTGAAGATAAACACAAGAGATCTGCATGGTACTTGTACCTTGACAGACTTTTCCTTTGGACCCCCCTCCTGCCAACGCACCCCAAGCCTGGGCTGGCTCCCCCAGAGCAGCCACATGAGTCTCCATATGCAGCTCTTCCCACACAGAACCTCTTCTCAGGTGATTTGTGGGGATACACCAGAATAAAAGTTATTACTAGATGTGACACCCAGCACCAGAAATAGAAAGCAATTTTGTATACACATAGGGAAGAGTCATTAAATCTAATTCTGGTTTTATTGCTCTTGTAGAGTCTCTGCTTCTCTCTGAACACCCCACCATTATGGCACAGCTTACTGTCCTGAATTTTAGTGACATGAAACACGGATAAATCCAGACTACAAACTGCAGGCACTGAAGAACTGAACTCAGGCAACTCCAGACACGCAGACAATCCACTCTCATTCATCCCCCATCCCAACTGACAGAGCAGGACAGTGCAATTTGGTTTATTTATTCTTTCCAACACCCTTACCTTGCTTCTGCAAATTCCAAACCGCTTCCATTTCTGTGAAGGCAAAAGGAGAAGATCACTGTTATTATGCAGATTGATGTTACCATTAGAGACAACTTTAAACACACTTTAATTTCCCAAGTGTGGCACAACACGGCTGCAGCTGTGCCAAGGCTTTCAGACAGAGCCCACCCCATCCAGTCCAGCAGCACAGCTCCAGCCCATCCCGAATTTGACACGAATAATCCAACAACAAAAGGCAAAGGGATGGCTGTAACATGGTCTTAAGGGTCAGAGGGCCAAGTTGAGCACCAGAAATGTCACCACTGTTCCCCAGTCCTACAAATCACAATCTGACTTCAGGCTTTACTAATCCGACTCTAACGCTGCTTCGCGTGTTACAGCCTCAACAAGGAGCCTGAAGAAATGATTTTTTACGAGTTGATGTTTAGTGTGTGTGAAACCAGAACCGCAGGACATGGCAAGTTTCACATGGCTCACAGTGTGCATGTGCTGAAGCACACCAGGCAAGGACTGCTGTGCCAACATCACTGCAAAGCTGCTGCCAACACACCACCCGAGAGCAAGGTGTGATGCTCAGACACCCGGCTGCCTGCTTGGCTTGAGGTTCTTTCCCCAGTTTACCTCTACAACATGTTTGCAGGCTGAATACAAATCCTCCCCGGTTCTCCCTGAAAAAGCACATGCTTTTGTTTACCTCAGAAATAAAAAAGTTAAACGCTCTTTTCATCCACACTGAGAAACAGAAGGCTCTTCCCTTTAAAATGTCCCACAAATCAAGTCACATCTTTAGAGAGCCATTCAAAATAACCTCATTTAGCCACTACGGAGATGGAATTTTGTGAGCTAGAATATTTATGAAGGCACACTAACTGTACCCTGCGTCCAAGTTTAAGAGACAAAATTTTTAAAGAAGGAGCATTTAGTAGGAACACAACCTGCAAGAACCACCTTTCAAGTCTCCCTTCTGCCACAAAGGAGGGTGACAGGACCTTGGTGGGGGTTGGAACAGGGAATAGCACGGGATTATCAGGCTACATGGGATGTGCAGTAAAGCACAAAACAAGGCAATAAGTGAACTATCCGGCATGGGAAAGGAAGAAGAAAAAGCCCTACAAAACTCATGGCCTCAGCACGATGTGTGCCAAGTGTCACCTCCATCAATCGCGTCCCTTTTCCAACCCTTCATCTGTCCTTTGTCCTCTACAATCTCCAGCTCCCCAGGGCAGGAAATTGCATGCAAATAAATATTGCCAGCCCTCCCTGCACAATTAAGCCTTTTGTAAGGAAGGCCCCGGCAAAATTTTACGAGGTCTGTTATTTTTGCGTCACGACAACAACGGCAACATTTTGCACTTTCATGGGGGGGGGGAACCTTAAGTGCTTTGGGAACAGTAGCCAGCCTCTAACACCCCCAGGGATATAAGCAGCCTGGTGAGGGACTGCCTCCCTCATCTGCCAGATGCAGATTCCCCCGAAGTAAAATGAACCAGCTACTAAAATTACCTCCTGCAGAGCGAGTTTTCCATTCAGCGCAGTTAGATGCATCATTTTCTAACAGCTAAAGAGCATCTCCTATTTTAACAGCTTTCCCCAAAGGCTGGGGACAAAAAACTACTCTTGAGTTGTTGGTTGCTCCACATTAGAGCAGTGTTTGAGCATCAAATACAAGGCAGAGCTGAAGCATTGCCCCACTACTGTATCCCACATATAGACCACACCTTCTTGTGCTGTTCATTTGGTTGTAACTTCCCTGGACACCACAAGGATGTGAACTGTTTGTATTAAGACACGTCTGACAATAAGACAGATGGTGAGATACTATTAAGGACACACCAAAAAACTTTTAAGTTGTCAAAATTCTGTTTAGATAAAAAAAACTAACAAACCAACAACTAAATTCTCCAACCTTTTCAGTCTCCAATTTTCCTTCTCCTTCCTCAGAAAGAGAGGGTGCTGTAGAGTGTCCTGTAAATCCCAGATACCTGGACACACTGGCTGGCAGATGCTCAATCTCATAAAGCTACAAAATCAAAGACCATGGGGAAACAATGCAGTAATAGCTCTTTTTGAATATCATCTGCCATCAGCAGACCAATGTGCTCCCTTTCACATGTCCAGCAGCACAGGGACACAGGATAGTACAGGCTGACCAACTGAAACAACTTCACAGAGGAAAAAAAAAAATAAGACTTAGGTTAACTGCAATGCCAAACTAGGGAAAAAAGGGGTTTTCTTCCATCTTAAAATGAAATTTAATGATTTATTCTGCTTTACTTGGTAATACACTAGCATGTGTTTTCCTCCCAGTTCCAGGCTGTGGTCACCTACAACTGACACAAGGTGCTGTGACAAGTGCCATGGCCACTGTCACAGAGGTTGGACTGACCTGGGGGACAGGCAGCTCAGCAGAGCCACCACTGCCCAATGCCTGGGTCCAGCCAAGCAGAGCAGTGAGCTCAGGGATGCAGAGTGGAATAAAAGACCATACCCATGAGCTGGGCATGCAAGAGGCCCTAAGCCTGCTTTCAGTCCTCCTTCCTTGGGCTCAAAGAGCCCTTTTCTTGAGCCTGTCTTCCCTGGGTAAAGCTTTCAGAGCAGGTTTAAGCAAAGGACTCTTACAGTTGCTCACCCTGCATGGGAAAAGGCACCATCAGCCCAAGCCCACCTCTCTCTGATACTGACCCCAAACCCACTGTTGCCCTTTCCAAAGACCTGACCAACAGACAAGAGCCACCATTCCCAAAACAGGGAAATGGCACACTTCCCTCTCAGTGGACTCCAACCCAGCTGGATAAAATGCCACCAATAAACCCTTGCACAACCCAGCATCAAAGCCAGCCCTGCTCCAAGCCAGGGGCAGAACTAGGTCACCTCCTGCACCCCTTCCAACCTCCGGTTTTCCAGGATTTTTTACAATTAGCTGGCCTCTCCACAGCCCTCTGGTCAGGTTTCCTGAGGAACTCCCCAGGGCAGACAGCCCCAGTCACAGACAGCCCCAGTCACATCCACCTAAACCACTTTTTCTGGGGACTATCACTGAAACAAAGGGGTGGTGGAGGAAGGCTTTGATGTCAGGAACAGACTAAGGCACAGTCCAGTGAATTGTGCTGGGATTCCTCATAGGTCAATAAACTTTATAGCAGGACTGGTACATAATCTTGGAGGGGAAAGAAGTGATAACTTGTTAAGACAGGCACTTTTACACACTTTTTCCTTGCTAGAGAGGCAGCCCCTGCAAACAGAAGTGTCTGCACAATGCCACGGAACTAGTTCTTTGTTCTTATAAATCTCACTATTGTCTCTAAAATAAAACACTAAAAACATAACAAAAAGGGACCATTCTCATCTGATTTTTCTGCTTCTACCTGCAGGACATAATGATTAAGTTTAGGGGATTGCTCAAGAAATGAAGCAAAGATTAAAAATTCCATGCTGTGGAGACTCATGGCTGTACTGAATACACTGTACTCATCCTGACAACTGGAAAGAGCAGAGACTCAAAGGAGAATTAAATCAGCTTTTGCCCCACAGCTCAGGCCCTACAAGGCAATAAACAACAGAGTGAGACCTAACCCCTTCCCACCAATGGGGATGGAAAACCAAGGCTCTTCCCACCCCCTCCCCGATGTAAAGGATGAAAATTGCTGAATTCACAGCTCTGCTATTTCTTCTGACCCAGTTCACCATTCCAGTGAACGCCACTCCTGGCTGGCCCACGCTGCCTTGCTCTATTTTCCACGCTGCTCTTCTGCTTCTTCACGCGAGCAGAGATGCTGAGAAGGAACAAAGCAGCAGCACAGGCAGAAACTCAGGGGCAAGTCAGAAGAGGGAAACACTGCAGCTTCCTCTCCTCCACCCATGTGGTCTTTGCTGCTGTGCAGCTGAGCTGGAGGCCTCAATTATTTGCTTTTTAGCTCAGGACAAGCAAATTATTGAGCTTCCCACCACAAAGCTTGCCATCTAGAGCCCAGTGTCAGTGACAGCCTGGCCTGGAAGACTGCAACTGCCCAAACGTGACAGAACTCTGCACAGCGTTGACAATTATTCTGATACGAACCCTTTCTTCCAGCTGTCTCTAAAAGCAGTATAAATAAAGCAGTAAGAAGATGCTGGTTTCAACAGAAGTAAAGCTGAGATACAACCAGCCTCCTCTTCTGAAGGACCAAAAAAATCTGCAAGGACCAGTTTTACCTCAAAAAGATAAGGATTTTGGTAATGCCACACCAAGGCAGAAGTTCAACTCTAACCTAGATAGGGACATTGACCGCAAGCCAGAGCATCACTTCTTCCTGGTCCTTCTAGTCTGCCATACTAAGCTACTGTCTCTGTCTCCAAGCACATCCACAGCAGACCCACAAGTGCTCAGCTAAATCAGATCTCCCTTGGCAAATCAGATTTGTCACCTGCGAGTGTTTCAAGGCACCGTCACAAACCCCGAGCGGCACGGGCTGTCAGTGAAGGCAGCCACATTGAGGGATCGTGTTTTACACTCAAGCAGATCAGATGATCAAGGGAGTCTTTCTGCCCTTTAAACAGAGGGAAAAAAAAAAAAAGAAGCAGGGGCACAAGGAAACCAACAGGAAAAGCTTCCAAGAGAACAAGAAGAAGGTGCACCATCAGCCTTGCCTGAACGTTCCCAGCGCTTTGACTTCTGGGGAAAAAGCAATCCAGACACATGCAAAGGAGCACAGGAATCCTCCACTAAGACCTCACTGTGCTCTGCAATCACCAAGTCTCACACCCCAGTGGAGCCTCGCCAGCACCCAGGGTGCTGTGGTGGGGTAAATGGGATCCCTGCACCAGAGCCAGTCCTCCCTGTGTGCTACCTCCTCCATCCATCTTCCTACAAGGAAGCTGTGAAGCAATTACAATCCATAATGTCCCATGCAGTCACTGGGCAAATCACACATAGGAAAGCCTGGTTTGCTGGAACAAAGCTACTGAGTAAGCTGGAGACTTTCCCATAGCCTATTTACAGTTCAGGATGAGGATCCACACAACGTGGTCACAGTTACAGGCACAAACAGTGCACATTTGTGACAGACAGGTCAAAGCACACTACCACTCACATTACAGCCCATCCCTCACTGCAGCACCCAGAGCTTCATCCTTGCACTGAACTACTGCACTTGGAGGAGCTCAGTGCAGGAAGACACCGGGACCCCACCAGTGCTCCACATTCACTCCTGTCCTTGCCCCATGATCGTTTTTCTTTGTGTTCATAACCCCAGGGGGAGGGCAGATGTGAAGATCAAACTATCGAGACTTTGCTCAAAAGCAAACAGATCAATCCAAGAGGGAGAAGTTCACCCTCCTCTCGAAATCAAAACCAAACAACACGAGGACCCAACTGCCCGGGATGCCCTAACACTGACCCAGGCAAACCCACACACTCTCCCAAGCAGGGAGGAGGGGAAGGCAGTTTGCAAAAAGCAACTGAGTGAAATCATTCCTTTCCTACTGCAGGGGAACTGGTTGGCTTGGAGTAGGACCTCAGGAAAAAAGCCCAAGATAAACGGAGCAAACGGTGTGGGAATTAACCACCGCACTGCTGTCCTGCAAACACACCCTGGCAGCTCTGGGTTGGAGGCATTTCCCAGCACACTCTGGGCTCTGGCTGTAGGACCACGGCCATGAAGAGGAGACAGGAGGCACCGTTCCTCCAAATACTCCTTAACCAAACTCACCCCAAAAGTGAATGAAATGCAACACCCAGCATCATCAGAAGTACTAAGAACTGGATTGATCTCCTGCTTTGTGAACCAGCAATCAGGTTTGGGGACTAAATAGCAGAAAGACAAGCCTAAGCTCTTTGGAGCACCCCATCACTGCATTAATGACAACACTGAGTAGAAACATTCATAGTCTTTTACCCCCAAAGAAATCAGCAGAGAGGAGTGGTGGGGCAGGAACCCCAGGTTGTTTGTTCTGGATGCTCAAAGCAAGATGCTTCAGAGCAACAGCTCTAGAAGAAGAGCTTCACATGCAGAAGAGCAGAGAACAGTATTTCACGGGTACTTCAGGTGGTCATTCCTGCCATTAAATGTAATTAATTCCTGTGTTTAGAAGAGCTAAACACAGCCAGGCTTTGAAGTTAACACCTCCTTGAGAGGACATGGGAAGGGAGTGTACTTTATTTTCCTGTTGTTGCTATTGTTTTACTGGGATCTGTCTTCCACAGCAAGTGAGAAAGGGAGAGCTGATCAGCCTTGCTGGCTGTGAACAGTTGCTTTTCTACAAGTTCAGGCTGACAAAAACAAAGGGACAAACCGAAGTGAAGGAAATATTTGCAAACTTAAGATCACCTAGGATTTCTCTCCATGCTATGCTTCCTGGCACCCCTGTTTTCTGATAGGAAATTGGGATTTAAGCTGCAGGCAGACATAAGAATGAAAACAGAAAGCCTGCTTTAATGCTAGCATAGACTGAGCTGAAAGGAGAGGACCCAGATAAAATCAATTGATGAATGCTGTTCTCAAGAATACTAGAGCTTGAAATGTTAACATTATAAGAGGGAGATGACCTGAAAAAAATATTTGGAGTTATTATTTTTAAATGATTGGGCTTGTTATTACTAAAGGCAGGCATCTGAGTTTGCAAACTGGTAACTTAAGAACTTTGCAGTGGGTCAAAACACAGCAAATTTGCCAAAGCCAGGCAAATACCAACCCTCTGCAGAGGGGAGGAAGACATTATCCACATTTGTATGTGGAACAGTAAACAAAAAATGGATTATCACCTTGTTCCCTTCAGAGGGAGAGGGAAGGGGGTCAAATAAAAAAAGGAATTGCCCCTGTGTTGGTCAGGGGTGGGTAAGTAATGCCATCCCAAAAGGGAACACACAACCAGGCTCCTGTCAACACTGAGCCAGCACCAGAAGCCAAGAACTGCCACAAGACCTCAGAGCTTCTGAGGCTGAGGCTAAAGTAGAAAGCAAGCCATCCCACAGGCTTCCCTCTCCTCGTTCCCATTTTAAAGTGTCTGTATCATGTTTGAGTCATTTCAATCTCAAAAAAAACAGGGAGGAAAAAAAAGGAGCTGGACTACAAAGGACTCCATGAAAGCAACAAAATCACCTGAAAGATGTGGCTTACAAAGACAAGGAGAGAATTCAATCTGCAGCTTATAGAGGAGCTGATAAGAAAAGATTGGTCTTGCTGTTGCTGTAATATTCAAGAAGGGCAGGGGAAAAGTGTGTGCGGGTCACGCTTAGAAAAATAAATCACACCTAGGGCCGTAGGAATAATTTTTTCTTCCTTCAAAGCCATGATTTCATGGTCTGATCTGCCCAGGGGAGAAGCTGCAACACTTTGGTGGTAGAGGTGTGAGCACAGACTATGAAGCTTTTCCAGTGACAGAATATCACCTGGTAAAGCTGGAACAGAGCGGGTGAACCTACACATTTAACTCCTTCCAATGCCGAGAGGCTTAGGAGGGCCTGCTAAGTACCATCCCTATCAACATCACTCATGCTTGTCCACGGGAACAGGGAAACAAATACCCCTTAACATTAATTAAACAATGGTTTGCGTAGCTTCCCAAACCGTTATAGCCATGAGAGATATGCAAGCAAAAAAGAAAAGCTCATTTTTAAAATAATCAGAATTGCTGGAAGGAACATATCACGTTAGAATATTGCACTTATAAAAACAAAAGTAAAAAAAAAAAAAAAGAAAAGAATGCCCTTAGGGAGCAAGTTAAGTCATTACCTTTAGTGTGATATAGAATAGCAGCCCACAGGTCAAAAGAACCCCAGCTATCTTTCCTTTCTAGGCCTCTCTGGTACCTCTGTTCTTTGGCGGAGGATAGCAAATTGTTCGTAGGAGAGGCCAGAGGATTCTCTACTTCATAGTCTTTTGAAAGAAACACTAAAGCACCTTGGCTACCGGTGTCTGCCTTTTGTAGGTCACCTGTGTGATGCGACTCCAAAGCTAAGACACCACCCTCAACAGCAGTCCCAGGCTTAAGAATAGCACTAAGAATTTGAGGGCTAGTCCGTTTATCCAGCTCATAAGCCTTAGGAAACACAGGTTGTTCAGTTCCTGAGGGAGTGATTTCAGCACACTGTGAAACCAAAGTGGCAGGATATTCCCCTTGAAATGTCACTTCCATTAACTGATTATCGGCAGATTTCCCCACAACAGTTTCGGGTCCAGCACTGGGCTCGTTTATGAAAGACAAGCCCCACTGATTCTGGAAGATATCGCCCAGGTTCTGCTGATTCGTCTGCGAAGGGAAATCGACTTGCGCTGCACCCAGGAGCACAGTTTGCATATTTGAAGGGTAGATAAAAAGGCCAGATTTCTTTTGTTCTAGAGCTGTCGAAGTTGTACTCGTGTCCTGGGCTACTGACTCGGAGGAGGTCGATGGTACAGTACTAGCAGCAGTTGAGAGCAGTGGCTGGGTCCCTGGGGAATACACACTTCCATCGGTGCCCGCGAGGATCGGCCCATTTGAGAAGCTGGCAGAGGTGACAGATTTCATAGCAGACATGGGGACCTGGGACAGTCGACTCGATGTTTGGGCCTGAGCTTCCCCGGCAGATGACGAAGATGACGAAGACGACGAAGTGGATGGGGTTTGAGCTGCTTTGTTGAGGTTTTCTTTAACTTTACTTGCATAACTAATTTTGGGAACAATTTTAGCACTGCTATTGTCCACTGGAAAAACTGGGGGTGGTTTAAATAAGGTCCATGAGTCCTCTTTAGATGTAGCCGACGATGCGTGCTTCCCTTTGGGCCGGTCATCAAACTTCTTGCTGCTAATCCCAGGTTTGGCATCAGAGTTTTTCCGGGGTACATCCCCGAGCCCAGGCTTTCCCCGGCCTGCTCCACCAGCCCCAGCCTCGTACTTCCAAACAGGCTTAGTATTTTCAGTTCGGTTCCCCTTTTGTTCACTATAATCAGGCTTGAAACTCTCAAGTTCCTGTTTCAAGGTTGGTGCACTGACCTCCTGCTGCATTATTTTGTCCTGTACTAGATTCAGGTTCTCACAACCCTTGGCACTGTTGCGCCTGCCTTTCCTTTTTTTAGGCGTAGTATATCCACTCTCGGAGCCACTACCATCGTTATCGGCCCCTTTGCCTACGTAGCCATTGGTGATATAGCTGGAATTATTGGTTACCACGCCGTTTGGAATAGACACTCCCTCGGGCTTGTCCGAGGACTGGCCTTCTCTAAGTTTATTTTCATAGGACTTCTCATTCTTTTTGTCCATGCTATTTTTCTGAACGAAGTTCTTGGTTTTGATTCCAGCTTTCCCCAAAGCACTGGCCTTCACAGTCTGCTTTGGGGGGACATTAGAATCTACGAGCTGCTGGCTGCCATTGGGTACCCTGGATCCTGGGGCGGTGGCTTCATCAGAGCACAGGCCCTTCAGTGACACTTCTCTTTCTCCTGCGTTACCATTTAGCTCTCCATAGCCTAGAAAAAAGCCAGAATGTGAAATGTTAAACTCTTTGTTGCACAAAGCTGTAATCAGTCCCAAACATATCGTTTCCTCAAGCAGACATTTTAAAATAGGAAAACATCCAGTCTCTGATGTACATCAGCATGAACTTATTTGCTGGAACCCACGGCAAAAAGGGTTAAGCAGAAAGTACCAGCAGTGACTGACTCTCACATAACTGGGTGACATATAGATACTATAACAAAGCAAAAGAAAATACAGATACTATTTCAGGAAAATATACTGTACTAAAGATCTCTGGTAGGCTGGAGAGCTATTTCATCAGCTACTATTTCCAGGTCACAGAAAGGAAAAAAATTAATTCCCAGGATGCTTTGAGACAGAGGGATCCACTGACAAGGTCTGTGGAGGTTCAGAATCCACACTGTGAACAAGGGACAACTCCTGCCATCTCCATCAGCTCTCGGGCCTGCAACACCAGCAGCCCTCATTCCCACCCTTGTCCCAAATGCCATCCCATAAATGGGGGGGTGGGGGGAAGAAAAATAAAAAAGCAGGTTTTCAAAAGGGACATTGTACAAGTCCATTTGAAAGGTGGAGGGAGAGTGTGACTGCATCTTCTCTCTGCGTTTCAAGATAGCAACCAACACCTCCCTACATGTGCTCTTCAGCATTGAAAAGGTGATAAAACTGGGAGGAAATGCATCCCTGCAAGAGCCTTTCTGCTGCTACCAGCAATTGGTCTCTTGTCCACTGAAAACCTGGTATTTCAGAGTCCCTGGGAGAGATAGTATGAGCTTGAGACCCAAGAAATAAAGTATTTGCTGAGGGCTCCAACTGATCATACCACAAGATTATACTGCACACTCAGCTTTCCTTTTTCCTTCTGAAGGTCAGTTTTAGGCCTCGTGGTTGTGAAATGAATCTTGGAAGTGCAATTCAAGCAAAGCTGGAAGCTCAGGACAGTCCACACTGAGCCACCTCATCTTCCTCTTTGTTTTTTTTCCTTTTTAAAAATCCCTGGCCAGAGGCCTGTTGCTTTCGAGGACCCTGGCTACAACGCCCCAAGAGAATCCCTGGAGCCCCGCTGGGAGACAGGGAGAGCACACTGTGCCCAGCTCAACAAAGCCAGTCCAGCTGTGGACTGAGCAGAGGGATCCCTCCTACTGCACCCGCTCCTCCTCTGACTCATCCGTCCTCCTTCCCGAGGCTGGAAAGCCTTACACCTCCTGCAACCACTGACCCACCTAAGGCTCCATCTGCAGCCACGGTGGCACGGAGTCAGCACAGCGAGGGAGTCCCTCAACAACAGGAGCAGGCAAGACTCCAGCTTGAAAAAGAATGTTTTTGTTGTTGCTGATGTTGTTGAAATTAACTGCTATAACTGAAAATCATTGTTACTCTCACATCCTGGAGCCTCAGATGTCTGGCAGATGTAACTGCTCAAGCTCTCTGTGAGCCTGGAACACAAGAATCCTTGTAGGAATCTTTACAGAAATTCCACAACTAAGTTTGCCAAGGGGGATCAAAAAGGATTTTACTACGTGCAAGTATCTGCAACCACCACAACTTCCACTATAACTTTCTAATATGCTGTTAAAAAAAATTAACCATAAATACTTCATCTCAGAGAACTGGTAGGGTGGGATTCTCAGCTGAGCCAACAACTAAAAATTAAGCATTTCAGAATAACATGGAGAGGAAGCCTTCTCAAGAGCAGCGTGTTACAGCTGACCTTGTATGACTCAAGACTTCTGACACCACTTGTTAATGAAACAAAACAATAAGAGTGGTCATAAGACCATTGCAGATGAGGAGTAAAAGAATAAAATGAAGAACAAAATCCATTTCAGTAAGTCAGTGTGTCAGCAGTTTCTAGTTCCAATTCTCAAGTATTCACAGCTCAGCTGCCTGAGTTTTCTCCAAATCAACATTTAGCACAGCTGGCCCTTGCCTGGACACTGAGGTGCAGCAACCAAAATTTAGGGGAGAGGGAAAAAAAAATCCACAGGATAGTAAGACGAACAGGTGAAGAGAATTCAGCAACCTCACAAACCATTTCGGAGCCGGGAAGGGAGGGGTGCCAGCCTAAGCGCATATTAAAACCCTGGGCACGCTGCAAACAGTGAAATGACTACTCAACTTATTTTTGCTCAGTAACTTATTTTAGCGTGTGCCGGATCAGGTCCCTCCCCGTCTGCCCGGGCAGCACACGGGGCACCGCCGACCCCGCTCCGCTGCTGCCAGGCCCCCTCCCACCTCCCGCCTCGTTATGTAAAAGGGAGTTTCAAGGGGAAAAAAAAAATAAATGCACGCGGTATTCCTTCCGGGCTGGTGACCACGCACTGGCTCTGACCCCACACAAGCCCCCCAAAATGGGGAGCCGGGGAGCCCCCCAGGAGCGCGGCGGGGGCTCCGGCCCTGCCCGGGAGTGGCCCCCCCACTCCGCCCCAGTGCCCGGCCACCGCCTCTGCGGCGCTGCCGCCCGGCCCGCGGGGCTCGGCCCGGCCCGGCCCGGGCACCGCAACCCCGGACCCGGCGGGGAGGAGGCGACCGAGGGCCCCGGGCTGGGCCGGGCTGGGCCTCACCGCCTCCCGCCGCCACCGGCGGGGCCGGGCCGGGCCGCTCCGCCCGATGTGACTCATTGATCTTGGCGCTCATCAATCGCTCGCCCGCCCCCCGCGCCCCCCGCGGCCCCGGCCCCGGCGCGGCGGGGGCAGCGGCCCGGCCCCACGTGCCGGCGGGCGGCGGAGCCGGCGGGCCCGCGGCTCCCGCAGCCCCAACATGGCGGACAGGAAGCGGCCCCAGCGCGGCGGAGAAGCTTCGAGCCGGGCCGGGGGAGGCGGCGGCGGCGGAGGAGGAGGGGAAGGGGGGGCCCCGCCGCCGCCCCGCGAAGGTCACAGGCCCCGTCCCGCCGCCCGCCCCGACCTGGTCTCCGCTTCGGCGCCTCCGTGTGCTGCGGGCCGCCGTGCTTGTGCTCGTGGCGAAGCGGCGGCTTGGGCTGGGCTCGGCCGTCGGGCGGCGGCAGGTAGGCGCTCTGCGGGTGGTGGTGGTGGTGGCCGTAGTAGTAGTAATGGTGGTGGTGATGGTGGTGGTGGGGCTGCTCCTCCATGGGGGGCGGCTGGCGGGGCCGGGCCGGGCTGGGCGCTCGCTGCTGGGCCGTGCGGCTCCGGCGCGGGGACGCGGCTGGCGCGGGGGAGGCGGCGGACTGGCAGCGCCCGCCCTGCAATCAGCGAGCGGCGCCGCCGCGACCGCCCCCCGCCCCGCCCCGCCGCGCCGCGGCCGAGGGAGAGCCGGCCCGGCCAGCGCGGACCCGCCCGGCCCGGCCGCCCCCCGCCCGGGGCCGCGGCAGGTGAGGCTGTCAGGGATGGGGTTGTTTCGAGGCGGCCGCGCTTCGCCCCCTCCCCGTGCGAGCGCGGCCAAGCCGGAGCGAGGGGCCGCGGCGGAGATGCCTCTGTCCCTCGCCGCTGGGCCACCCCCGCGTCCCCCGGTGTTCCATGAGCGCCGTGCGGCCCCAGGGGGGTTTCACCGCGGGGTCACCGGGAGGAGGACGGCCCGGGAGGCAGCAAAGCCGCGTTTTACCGCCAAGGAGCGGGTGAACCGCGCCCCGCGGCAGGAGGGGGAGGTTGGAACAGCCGCAGCCAGGGCCACGCGGAGGGGATCTGGGCAGGGATGTGAACACCGTGAGCTGCCGGGCTCCCAGCCGCGGAGAGCCGGAGCGGCAGCAGCAGCGCCCCGGAACGCCGCCGGGCTGAGCTGCAGCGCTCCCGCAGCAGCAGGAGCCCGCCCGGCTCCAGGGCTCCACCCGCAGCCGCCCGGGCGGACCCGCCGCTCCCCGGGCGTGCTCGGCACCCACCCTAAGAGGGAAAGGTCGCTACAACAGACGCTCCTGCCCGCTTCCGAGAAGCACCGGAGGTTTAAGTGATGCTTAACAAAAAAACACAGGTTGTTTGGGAAGCCCGAGAATGGAAAGAGGAGATCTCATTTGCAACAGATTTTATACCATTTCAAATCTCTGATTATCCCCGCTAAATGACCTGAATTATCCAGCTAAATGACCTGAACTTCTGCCCCTGCTCTGACCAGGCTCCACTGTAGGAAGGAAAGGCCAGCAAGACTTTCCCCTTCGACTGCTGCTCCAGGTTCCCTGCTCAGTACCAAGGCCCAATTCTGCACAGACAGCATGATTTCAAAACAAACGGTTTCAAAACAAACATGGTTTGAATGCAGAGCAGCAAGGAACTGAGGCAGGAGTTAATTAGGAATGTAGGAAAAGACAGAGAGGATGGGGAGACCTGAGATCGACACAGGCTGAAGTTGGAGGCAGAATTCTGCTCCAAGTTATTCGCTGCTCTGCTGTGATTAATTACCTCCAAATACTCGTGACAGTGTGCACTGCAGCAAACAGGGAGGAAAAGTGACAAAATCTGATCATGTAATTAAAGACTGTTATAATTAACATACACAAAAAGAATAAGCAGGCTGCACACATAATCTTCAAAATAGTATTGACTCGCTTGTCAGGGTTGTCCTTGCAGCTTAATGCTCTGCTGTATTTTTCAGTATTTTAATAGAGAAAATTAATAAAGTTCCTGTGTCTAGAAAGCCCTATCAGCCTTTGGCACTGTACAAAGGACAGAGCTCTTGCCCAGAGATTTTACAGTTCCCAAGTTTTATTTCAACAGCACACAGTTTAAAGTTTATGCCTCAAACACAGCTTCCCACTCCACCTTCCTCTTTACTACATAGGAGGTAAAGCTTTTCCTACCAGAAATACCAAGTTCTACATTAATACAAAGAGGTTTTTTCAAGACTTGAGGTGCCTGAAATATCACAAGTTCTGTGCCAAACCATTCCTGCAGTTTGCATTTCTTTCAGCACAATGCAAAGCAATTTAAAACACGATGAAACCATTTAAGCAAGCAACCATGAACTTTGGGCTTTATCCATGTTCTCAGGAATAACGGTCCTTTCAAATGCTGACTCATGGAGTGACCTCACGGTTCTTAGGAGACAAGTCTTAAAATGAGGAGTCAGGCTTTAATCACAGTTGACATTTTATTGGTGGCTTGGAAGAATTTATTTTTAATATGAGGAACTGGCTTTAAGATTTAAACTTCAAAAGACTGAAGAAAGCAAACAATTATGGACAAGTCAGCTCTGCACACACACAGACCAGAAATCTGAATACAGAGGGAGATGGGTCGTCTCTTTGTGAAAGACAAACTATTTCAAACTATTTCACTGCTTAGAAGTGTCATGTTGTCAGTATTATTTTATCTGAAGCTTGCAAAAACAGATTAAAAAAATCTAAATACAGCTTGGAGTCCTCCACCCTCAGAAGCACAGCCGGCACACAAAGCACAGGTATCCCACACCTTCCCCACTTCCCACTAACTCCACATGGCATCCACGGCGATGCATTTTAAAGGTATGAGCAGTTCCAGCAGGCACTTTTGCCCTGTGGCCTTGTGTCTCCTCCCTGCCACGCTGGAACATGTCCCCTCCAGAGGCTGTACTTTGTGTTAATCCCAGCATTAGCCCAGCGTTGCACCGGTTACACTGCGCGTTAATATTCAGCAGTTGTCCAGGCTGTGTTCTCTGGAAAAGGGAAACCGGAGATTTCCGTGTCTTCCCAGCTGCAGCAGTTTTCCTTCTGACTGCTCTTTGGCAAGCTGGCAAAGGAAAGAGGTAATTTTCCTTGGAATTCCACACCCAGTGCCAAATATTCCCACATCCAGGCACAAAGCTGGGCACAGCCAGTATAATTTCTAGCTCAGTAATTTATTTAAAGCTCTATTTTATGAAGCTTTGAAGTGGATGGCTTTGGAGAGAACCTGCCATTTAAAGCTGCAAAATTAAGGCAGCAAGGAATGAAACAACTGCTACAGGAATCACAAGAAAGTTTTCCTGGAGAGTCTGACCCGGGATGAGTTTTGTGTTCATATTAAAATCCAGTTAAACTGAGAAGCTATTGAAGTGATTTTTAAAGAATAATTTCCTTTCAAAGGCAATTCTCTTTAAGATGCTACATTTAGTTTCCACTAAGTGTTTTCAGTTAAGTGGAAACTGAAACTATAAAACTAATCCAGGATAAGAAAAATGCTGTCTTTGTAATAGACAGTGTCTCGTGTCTGTCCCCTGTTTAAAATTCAAAATTGGGAAACATCAAAATTACCATATTTATAGATATTGGGAAGGGCTCTTATACAAAGTATGTATGGCATTTATTTACATTTTTTTGCCACAGTGTTTTCATTTTTAGCAAGGGTTCAGACTTGCGAAATTCTCCATATTCCAACACATCCAACCTAACAAAGCGCTCAAGCAGACCTTTAGTTCCAAGTAGGATTATAACCACGCTGTTCAAAACCTTGCCACGTTTGGCCCCTGAAATCTTATGTATTTCAGTACAATGCAGTCGTGATTTACCAGTGAGTATTCAAGTGTTGGAAATCTCAGATCTCAGCAGCAGTTTAGTCAAGATGGATGACGGGGCGAGAGTGCTCCTTGCAGCCTCCTGCCTGACCACAGCCATCCTCACGGAGCTGTCGCAACCACGGTCAGGTAAGGAGGAGCCTCTCCTTGGCTCCATTTTTGTACTCTGCCGTGTACATTATTTATAGGTACAAAGCTGGTCTCTTTAAAGGCTTCTCTCTCTAGAGGCAGCCTGATAGTAGACATTGGGTTAGAGGTCTTAAAAAGCAGCAAAGCCAGAAAAATTAAAAAGGATTTAACCCCTAACTGAATTGTAGGAATGGATACCATGGACATCCGTCTTTCCAATCCCTAACAATTTAAGCATTTGCACCTGAGCACATGCTGAATTATGATTTTTTTTCCTAAAAACTTAGTTTCCAAATGCCATAAGCACACTATGTTAATCCTTCACTCACTCTCCAGAAAATTAAGGCAGTCCAGCACCAAAAATAACTGTAGGGCATAGTTTTGTGAGGCAGCAAAACTGACGTAATGGCTGCACCCAAAAGGGAAGGTCATCTCTCTCCCTCTGCCCTGCCCTCACAGCAGCACTGCTGCTCCTCGGAGCCCATTTGAGAAATTAACTAAAAGACAATTCTTCAGATGAAAAAGTGCACATTTTTATTCTGGTTAGGCTTCCTGAACTGTTTCACAGAGGAGCCAGACAAATATTAACGCCCTTAAGAATGGGCTGTCAGTACAGCAGCTCAGGAGTTGCCTTCCACAGTCAGCCTGGCTGCAGGGATGACCTTCTGGGAATTGGGCAGTGGGGCACAGCTGGGGTTGCAGCCACTTAAGCCATCTAATTTTATTTTGCTCATATTTTCATATTTGTGAGTCAATCCCCTCGAGTGCCTGAAGAGGGATGGCGTGACCATCCTTCAAAGGGTTTTGAGCAAGCTGTAATGGAATGGCTGTTACCAGTGGGACTTCTGGTGGGTACATGCATTGTTTAACAGCACTGGATCTGAGGATCATCCCTGTTGTAAAGACATTGAAGTGTTCACACAGGCATGAGTAACATCTGCTGCCCATATCTGCATGAAAAATTGTTTACTAGAGTGCAATTGTATAAAGTGGAGGCAGCTTCTTGGACACATATGAGAAGCAGCACGGGAGGCAGGCTAGCAGGATGGCCTCAGCCAAATCTCTCATCATTACTTCTCTGGGATTGCAAAGAATCCTGGCTCTGGCCTTTCAGACAGTTCTGGATCTCCTCCTGTTCCCTAGGACCATCATAGGGACACAGAGAAATCTTCACAAACACCTTCCAAAGTGCTCTTGCACAAACCACCCTGCAGTTAGGACCTGAGGCACAGGCAGTCCAGCCTGACTTACACGGGGGATTGTATCGGTCACTGCTTGCAGTAGACTTTGACCTCTAGAAGACAAATGAGAAAAAGCTCAATCCACAAATCCCAAGCACTTTTTATCTTGTTATACAACACAACAGTCACAAGGCCGCTAGTCACCTTTCATTCTCATTCCATTTGGATACCGAGCAGTTATTTTGAAACAGGGAATTTTTTTAATTATTAGTTTTTAAATGTGTGTTGGGTATGTCTGCATTTGGCACGTGGGGGCTCCATTGCTTGTTTGCACTCAGAGTCTCCAACCTAACAATACCCAGCACTGACAACCAAAAT